CGGTCTGCTTCGGGGGACCCAGCGTCGAGTCCACTCTTGGAACGATGGAGTCCTTTTTGTTGCTCTCGTCCGATGCGTCGCTGCTTATTTCGGTTGAGTCGTTCAAGCTCTTTATCAATCCTGCTAGGTGGTCAATCAAGTGTTCAGCATCTACTGAAGGATAATGCGTACTCAACCAGGCGACGGCGATCGTCATCTGCGACTCCAGTCGGTCGTCCTTCGTAGATACTAAACACGAGATTATGTGAGCAGGGAGCGCATGAAAGTTGAATATTAGACCTGAAAAGGGGTCGGGAGGGGGGAAACGTGGTGGAAGTTCGTACTTGAAATCCTCCAACTCCAACTCCTTCTTTCTCTTGATATAACGGTCTATAATCACAGGGTCTTCAAGGACGATGACCTTTTGCTCGACAACACCTTGGTCATTGAGAACTTCTCGAGTGATCTTGAGTTTCTTTCGCTGATTTCGGCTGGTTGATGTCGTCAGGCCAGTAATTTGACTCATTCCTTCGTCGGCATGGGCAGGGGTCTGGGCTCGTTGGGGGTTGAATCGGTCGTCTTCGTCCGGTGGCAGAGGGACTACAAGGTCGTCGTCCTTCTGTGTGCCATCCTCCAAGCTGTCTTTCTGCTTGTCCCAAATCTCACGAATGCCTTTTCTGTACATGGCTTCTTGCTCCTTGACGTTGTAAGCGTGGCCGTTATTCGCCTTGCGCTGCGCATCAGGATGAGCTGCCATGGCGTCAGCCGCGGTGGTGTGGGATCCACCTTTTTGGACAGTCTCGATGTAGCCGCCCTTCATGGAGGTTCTGATAAAACTGAACCCAAGTCCATGGCCTGTCGGGTCGCCTTGTCCGTGGAGCTTGAGCATGGCCTTGCCAGCGCATGCATCGATGAAGGCCTTGCTGGTTTTCCACGGCGCCATCTTGTCTGCCAATTTTTCTTCGTTCTTCTCGGCGGCCTTCTTGCTACCTTTGGCAGTGCCTGCGCCCGTGCGATCGTCGTCATCTTCTTCGGCAACCTCTTCGTTTTCATCCTCCAGATTGACATTGTTAGGGTCGAAGCCAGCATCTTCAAGCATCTGCATACCCAGCTGCATGCCATCGATCAAGCAGACGTCCTCAGGTTTGATCATAGCACGTATTGAGTTCTCATCCATAAGAGTCTCTCCGTTTCTCAGGCCCCAAAGTCCTTTCTCAACTTTGGCGTAGGAGAGGAACTCCTTAAGTTTTTGCCGGTTTTGAGCGTCTGTAGACTCGGCAATATGCTTCGTCACCTCTGACAAGTTTACCAAGTTCTGCTGGTTCCTCCTCATCATGCGGTACGAAATCATCTTGATTCTATTTTTCGAGGCATTTGTGACCTTTCTAGAGTGAGGGCCGGGAACCTCAACACTAGGAAAAGTCTGGCCAACGACGTAAAGATGATCAATCTTGTGCAGGTACCAGTTGGCTCCATCGACACCCGTTGAGCTGCGGACACAGAGGAAGTCGGTGGACCGAGGCTTGTGCTTAAAGATAGGCGCCCGGTACATCTGGTTGTGCAAAGTAGGCATTGTTTGTCCAACTTCGACCTCACCGAATATGGCGAAAGGCGATCTGTCTTCCGGCAAGAGGACATGCGATTCACCAATCTCCATCTTTGGTGGCGCCTCTTCGTCGTCAACCTTCTTTTTGCGATAATAATTAATGACACGGTTTCCCATGCCAAAGTTGGAGAGGACGGGTGGCGTTCGTTCACAGTACTCGAAGAGCACAGCCGTTGAGTTGTCCGTGATGCCCAAGTCCTTGGTGGTTTTGAAGACTTCATGTGCTTTCCCCTTCATGGTCTTACGCTTGTGAAAACCCAGCTTGCTGAACCTGATCGTCTGACGCTCATGCTTTCCAAATTTGAAATGAGGCCGGTGGAACCCATCGCGGCGAATGTCCAGCTTCACCTTGTAGAATGGCCAAGCCAGCTTGAGAGCAGGCATACTGTGCTCGACGGCAAGGTTACCCAGAGTTGCTCTGACCTTGTGTTGGTGATTCTCCTTTAGTGCCTCGTATGCATCATCGTTGGACATGTTGAAGCGAGAAGATAAGTCGGGTCTCAAATGACCGTTTGCCATGCGCGTCATTTTTTGCTCCACACGTTGACGCTTGGGACCGCGCTGCGATTCGCCTTCTTCCAAGAGAAGATATGGGTCGTTCAGATCGAGAATAACACGCTTTGAGGCACGCTTTGTGACATCCTCGAACGAGTCGAACGAGGGTGCTGTGAATCGAGGTATCTCGGGCAGGCCCTTCGGCGGTGGAGGACGCACCTTCTTCTTTGGAGGCGGTTTTGGCTCTTCATCTTCGAGGAATTCAGCCTCCCAGTCAAAGTCAAACGCGTCTTCATGAGCACGCTTGACAGAAGCGGCAGCGGCTGCCTCAACTGCAGCCTCTTTTGCTTGTTGATCGTTGAAGTCTTGCTCAGCCTGCTCAATGCGGATGGACCAGTCATCGCACACCATCTCAATGTCTTGCAACGTAAACCCTGCCACTGCTTCCGAATCGGAGTCTTGCTCGAAGTTGAATTCTTCCGCTTCGGCTTCGTCGGAAGACTCCTGCGGAGCACAGGGAACGAGTCCTCTGGAGGAGTCGTCGATGCGTCTCTGCTTACGAGTCACAGTCGCGGGTCCAGGGATGCGGAAAAGCTTCTCTTGGTCGGCGGCGAGATCCAGAGTGAGCTTGGAGAAAATGAGCGTCTTTGGCTTCTTCGTAGGCTTCTTCTCGATCCATCGGGCCTTCTTGGGAGGCAAGAGTTCGTTCCATTTTAGAGTTACACCCTTCTGCCAAGTTGGCCAGGCTTGCTTGACCAGATCTTCAGCAGTCTCAGCCGGAGCAGGAATCTCGGGATCTTGGTTGGCAGCTTCGTAGCCAGGTTCGGGATCGAAGTTGATGTCTCGGTACTGTGATGGATCGGCGTCGTCGGGGTCGTGAACGTGAGGAGCTGGTGATGGCGGACCAGGGACTTCGATCGGGGAGGAAGGTCCATCGCCAAACAAATCGTCGGTGTCGTTACTCGTACCGCCGTCGTCAGTCAGACCTGGAACGGACAATGAAGTGGCAACGTTGCCCTCCTCCTCGTCCGGAAGATCGTCGTCGCTAATGTCCTCGAAGTCTTGGGCATCGTCGGCCTTCCCAGACTGGTCGAAAGGTGTGTCATCAATAGTGATGCCTAAATCCTCTCCATCACGAATTTTCGCGAGAGTCCGCTCGATTTGCTCGTCATCCTGAGCATCCTGCGCCTTCTGCGCTTCCTCACTGCGAGGAAGGGATTTGGGGGTGTCGGCGCTCATGTTGTTGATGCTTGCACAAATATCCACCCTCTGGCACCTCCGATATTGTGCGCCGACCTGTTTCAGTTCTATACCATGCCTCGCGTTGTCTTTTCCGATGCGTCGAGATCTGCGTTCGTTCGTTCGGAGCTCGTGAAGTCGATGGGGCGACGCGTCGGTCCGCTCTGGGGAAGCAGGAGGGAAAGTTCACGTAGAGCCGCAGAAATTTGGGTGACTCAGGTGCGATTTCTGCAGGGATGCCTGAGGCGCCAATTGTCAGCCAATTACTTTGTCTCAAGGAAGGCAGCTATTGCCAGTGGCCTGTGCCTGCCCGTTCTACCCCAGTCGAGGCCATCGGTAATGGGGCTTGTTTCTGTTGCATCATACCTAAATTCGACAGCGACGGAGGGAAGTCTTGCCTTCCTTGCACGAAATTGAAATCCAGGCGCTTTTGTGGATGATTCGGTGAAGAAGAGAAAGGGAAGTTTTGCGCTTGGGTGACGATGTAGCTAAGTGTGCTTGCTGTAGTGAAGTGTGATGATGATGGACGTGAAAATAAATGGTGTGCAAAGGCAAGCAGCTGTTCGCCCTGGATAGAGTGATGGGGAGGTTGAGGTGGAAAGGAGGAAGTCTGCCTAAAAGTAGAAAAGGTACCTGGTTGAGGACGAAGTGAGGGTGGTGATAGCGGATGGGAGGAACGAGAAGAGTGGGCCACGGTCACTTACACGGAAGCTACGTGGAAGGAAAGGGCAACTGTCGCCGCCCTCGGGCACCTTCCATCATGGCCTGCCTACCTTACCTTACCTTACCTACCTACCTCAGAGCCTTACCTAGGTAGGTACAGGCAAGAAATCTTGGAGCAAAAATGACCTACCTTAAGGTACCTTACCTAAGGTGCTATCCGGCCTACTTTTTTTAATGTACCTTACTGCAGCTTGCCTTTGGTCTTGAGCCAAAATCTCAAGGTCTACTGTGCGGCAAGAGTTTGTTCACCCGATATGACAAGTCGCTACACATTTGACGTTTCCTCAAGACATTCGTCTCCACCTCAATTGCTGTCTAACCGACTTCCCCAAACTCGCTCCTTCGCAAATTTGGCATTGCGCAGAGCTAAAAGGTATATTTTACCAAGGAGCAGGACAGAATAAGGTACCGCGTTAACTTTGCTTGTCCATTATCGACCCTAACCTTGCTTACGGGAGGCTTGGGCATCGACCCGCTCCCCTGTCTGGGGAGGCCCATCACCTTGCGAGACGCCGCCCTGTCAAGACCTTAAAGATCTGCCATGATCGCGACTACGCACCGTGGTCCTACCTGACTTAACTCATACATCCACAGCCGTCGCCCTTTCACCTCATTGCCGACACATCATTTCATTTACATATATATCTAGGCCGTAGTGTACTGGACTTGGTGTACCAAGACACAAGGAAATTAATATTCGTTTGATATTTTTGTGCAATTTTCACAATCTATCTAATCCCACCCAAGGGGCGATTGCATACGCGAACAGATGGAGTCCCTCCTAGACGGTTCTGATGCGTATGGCAGTCTTTGACGCCCACTATCTCCTCCCTCTGATAGTCAGAAAAAGCCTTTTGTGAAAACTCCGTACGCCTTTTCTTAGTAACGAGAACGATGACCCTCCCGCCATACTCCTGTTACCCTATCCTAACTTTGATTCCACAGCCAACGACGGCATTCACTTGCAGCGCTTCTCCACGATGCTTACACCGTTCTCCTCGTACTCCTTGCGCGAGATCCACATCTGGTGGAAGGTACCCAAGCTGGCCAGAATACTACCACCGATCCAGGCGCCAAAGCGACGCTCGCTGGAAAGACCGGCGGCGTGGATCTTAATCTTGAGGCCAGGGTACATGGCTGTAAGCTCGTTGTTCAGGCGGTCGTTGAAGCCGTTGAGCAAGCTGGTACTGCCAGTAACTACAATGTTGCCGAGAAGGTTGGGACGCAGGTCAACGTCGACAGCGTTCAGGGCGGCGCGAATCAGCTCTGGAATCGTCTGCGACTTGTTAAGTCGGAACTCCTCGCTAGTGGTCGGGAATGCGGCCGTCTCGTCCCACATTCCCTCGGAGACCTTGTACCGCTGCTCGCGCCACATCTGGTTTGCGCCGTTGGGGAACTCGAAGACGCGGCCGGGTTGCGTCTTGGCGAAGTCCTCGTTCTGCGGCATAGTGTACTTGCCGGGTCCACGCCAAGTCTCAACCACTGACTCCTTGAATTCCGTGAGGAGGCGGTCGTCCTCGTAGGCGCGGAACGAGTCGCTGATGGAGAAGTCGAACTTGCGTTCCTTGAACTGAGGAGGAGCACCTGCATCGACGGGAGTCTTACTCTCGACCATGAATGTAGGAACGGGCTCAATCTTGGGCTCTGAAGTCTCCCACAGGCTGCGAATCTGGGACGACAGCCACAGGCCGCCAACTGGGGACTTTTGGATCGATCGCTTCAGGACCATGCCGTCGTGAATGGCCGTAACCGAAGTGTTGGAGCCACCGACGTCAATGACCAGGGCACTCGCCTTGCCAGCGGCAAAAGCAGCCAGGACAGGCGTTCTGCTGAGCCAAAACGCAGGGCAGCCCCAGTTCTCCATGATTATCTCGATAGCCTTCTCTCTGGACTTTGAGGAGTTCCACGGTGCCTCGGTCATCAAGAGCGGGTTCTCCTGCAGGGCCTTCTCTTGCGACTCTACGTCCTCCATGGCGACATCAACGTCGCCGTTGGCCTCGCCTCCCTCGACTTCCTCCTTGGGGTCATCGTTGAGGCCGTTCTTGGATGGGTGAGTAGGGCGTCCGGGCTGAAGACGTGTGATGAGCATGTGCTCCCAGAGCTTGTTGGCGACATCCCAGTCCTCGACGACGCTGTCGCGCGTCATGTAGTTGCGGACCTCGAGGTCGGCCCGGGGGATCAGGCACTCGTCGCCGAAGACGGTTGTCGGGGTATCGGAGGTGCCAACGCGGCCGTAGAAGGACGGAAAGACGGACTTGGGGACATCCTCACCAGCGAAGCCGGCGCGTGTGCTGCAGTAACCTGGGTCGAGGACGAGAGCGGAGACCTCATCTGTTCGCGATGGTTAGATTAGGCCACGCGTTGAGTGAAGCGGGAACTGAGTCTTTACCTCCTCCGTAGATGTCGGTCGGCTGGACGGCCGATGACAGCGGTTGTTGCGACATGGCTGCAATTGATGATACGAAGCGACAGTCCACCGAGAAAATTGAGATGGCTCGAGGACGGCGTGGTGGGTTGTTGAGATGCTGCGCTCGATGGAAAGTCGCGTCTAGACAAAATTTGGCGCGGTGGTTGGAGGCAGGTGCAAGGCTGAGATTCCAGCCACACCCCACCGTGTCATAGCGCGACACACTGTACAAGCTCTCGGTGAGAGCTGCTGACCGAGACAGGGATGCCTGCCGCCAAAAGATTGAGTCGTCGCATCCCTCCATAAAGCTATCGAGGCTGATAATTGAAAGACGACGCATCAATGGAGGGATTTTGTCATTTAGATAAGTTTTCTTCAATTCCGATGCGACCAGCAACCTGGCGCACCACTGGGTATCTCATTGTTTGGATTCATTCGTTCCAAATCTACGTTACATAAGGTAAGGTAAGGTAGGCCTTGGTTTAAAGCTTCAAGTCACAATATACTCGTCTTCCGATTCGAAATCTCGGCCCTCTCCGTAGAGAACTTCACACGCGCCGGCCAACGGAATGTCCATCACAGCATCCGTCCCCTCGTTCCAAATATTCTTCCAATCGTATCCTCCCCCAGGTAACCTGTGATCCCTCTTGTTCCTCGACCTCTTCTTCGGGTCATCCCTTAGCCGTCCCTTGCTGTCAATGACCCCGATCTTCGAGGCATCGTCTACTACCGTCTCAATGGAGCTCAGTGGCAGCGTCAGAATCTCCGTGTTGTACGCCGCGAGCGCAATGTATATGTAGACCCCCAACATCGTGAGAAAAGCCGGGATCGCGAGCGACCACCAGCGGTTCGGATAGTAGTATATCCCCAGCGCGTGGAGGAAAGGCGACGGCAGGTAGGACCAGAGTAGGTATACGAGGAAGGTCAGCGTCGAGAAGAGGTACAGCACAAAGCCGTAGTATTCGTAGGTCGGCACCTGCGGCGACGCGCGCGGCACGGGCTCAAAGTCATCGTCCGAGGCGTCGGGGGTCGTCGGTCGCGAAGGGCGCAGGAGTGATGTCAATGAAGGTGAGGGTGGTAGAGGGGTCGGCGGGCGACCGTAGAAGGGGGGCGCAAAGTAGTTGTGATGCAGGGGTCGCGGGGGCAGTTCTTCGCCGTCGCTGGACTCGGAGGCGAAGGATTGGTTATCGAAGAGGACTTGGTCTTCTTCGTCTGAGGATAGAGACATTTTGAGCCGGAGGCCCGATCTGTCAGACCTCTGCTATCAGGGTTGCGACAGTGGAGTTGTGGTGTTGCAAGACGTAGGATTGTAGTTTCCCCAGGTTTGAAATCTAGAATTGGCCCCGTCGGTCCCGCCCCTGTCCAGAATGAACGGAGGAGTGGGGCCGCTGCGCGCTGAAGGTCCGCACCGATTAGGTAATTAATTTAAACCTCCATCATCTCAATCTGTGATATTTAAGGTAGGTTTTACTTCACGAACCTTCACTAGTCACGTTCCAATACGCAACAGATTTTTTGGTTAGAAGACTGCAGGGCCAAATATGCCACCAAGTTTCTCAAGCTCTCGAAAAGCTTATTTTGAGAAAATATGGCGCATCAAGGATCGTTCGTAAATCAAAGAGATCGTCATGGCGATAAGTGACCAACAGCAAGTCCACGAACATTTTTGCCGCACATGTACACCTTTATAGTCAGAACTTCGAGTTTGATTCATTGAGGTCACTTCAGTCTACTCTTCCCCCATACTGAGCTCTCAATATTCTGCGACCTCTAGAGACCAGCCCATCTCTCTCTCTCTCTCCAGAGCATCTCGCCCCAAACGAATTGCGCGAGACGCGACCCACCTCACCCGTGCTATGAGTTTCCGTATCATCTTCCCCCAAACGCTTGTTGGAACCAACCTGTCCTGATGAGTCAAACCAAGCCCAGCTAATAAGTTGCCCAGGAACCACCAAGCAAGAGAATATGAAACCAAAACTCATTACTTACCTCTCCTGTTCCCCGGCGTCTCAAGCCAAACCCGATTTTGCAATCCATGATGAACCCTCAACGCCTGAGCCCATGTCAACCCGAACCGAACGCTATTGTGCATGCTGCACGCCACGATCCCGCACGTTCGGCAACGAAAGTAGACAGCGTACGCCCTTGACCTGCAAAACGCGCATGCCGGCGGCTGGGCCCGGTTGTTCATGTCCTCCACCTCCCAGGATGTTGGCAACTGGTGGCTACACAAGGGATCCTCGGCGTGGATCTCAAACACGGGCCAGGCCCGCGGCGGTCGGCTCGCGGGGTCCGCGTCTGCTGGCGCGGCGGTCGGCTCGCCAGTATCGAGTCTCTGGCTGGACGATGACGGTCCTTCTCAGTAACATTCTCAACACCGGAGAAAGGAAGGTGTTTTACGTACCTCCGTGTTGGAACCATCCGGGTAGTACATGATGATGCTATACCTTCCCTGGCCCTGTCGAATACGAGCGGCTCGATCCATGTTCTGCATGTAGCGCTGTTCTATCAATGGGATCTCTTCCACGGGTTGAAAGCCTTGCATCTGCAGCGGTTGGACAAGTCCTACAGACTTCAAGTCAGTAACTGGCGGTCCTCAAATCCCGTTGACAATCACAGGCGCAAAGGCGGGCGGGAACTCAAGACGGCCGGCGTCGACTAGCTGTACTGGCGGAGGAGATGGCATCACCACACGCTGTATCACAGCTGAAGTTGCCCACTCCCCCTTTATATAAGTCCGGTAGATTCTTTTTCTTCCTTTGACTGGGCGAGGAGTCACTCACCTGCGGGTGTATTTGCTTGTGGAAAGGGTTGAGCTTGCGGCGGCAGCGTCGGCGGTTGCGGCCGTGGCAGCGGCGGCGGAGCAATGGCGTCCCTGAAGTACGCCTCTCGATGTTCTCCCGGATGTTGTCCCTGCTGATACCTTGTCTCCCGATCGCGCATGGGTATACGGGCCTCCCGCCCCATACCACCGCATCTTCGGGGGCAGCCGCCGTCGCGCCAAGGCCCGCCACACAAGAAACAAAACTGATGGGTGCATACGCACCTACAAGACCTCTGATCAGTCCATCCCATGCTTTCCTCACTCGATCTTCCTTTTTCAAACAAGGGATGCGGTTTGGCTCAAAACTCACGTTATATGGTAGCACCCAGCCGCAAGCTCGATAATACGATGACACCGCGGGCAAGGCGAGAGATTATTCTCATCCATGACATCCATCAGCATCTCGTCCTCGTCCTCGGTACTGCACGGCGTGCCCGGATGTACCGGACGCCTGCACCGCCGACACGTCCCCTGCCTGCACGCAAGACAATACAACGCATCGCCCGTGACGTGCCGCCCCTCGTTCGGTATGAAGGCCGCGCACGCCGGCTGCGCGCAATACACCCTCGCCTCCCCGGGTGTCTCCTCTTCGGCCCTGACCTGCCGGTACAGTCTCACTAGCCCGGGATGGTCCCGGCCCGCTGCCTGCTCGACGTTGTCCTGGTGCAGCGGTTCGCAGCAGCGCGGCGGCCAGCCTCCCGCCCGGAGACCTGCGCGGATACAGCGCCGGAGACACCGCGGGCACATCCAGCAGCTGCAGGGGAGGCGGTGTTTGGGTTGTCTGCCCGTGAAACAAACGACGCACTCTGGTCCGTTGTCTTCGTTGTTGTCTTCGGCATCTGAGGTTGCTGCGCTGTTGGTTCTTGTGTCGGCGAGGAGGCGGTTGCGCTCTTCCCAGTCAATGTGTCCTCCATCGCTCAGGGACCGTCTGCGGGAGCGAGAACGTGAAAGGGCACGAGAACGGCTACGACGGCGTTCACGGTTGTTGTTGCCGTCATCTGCTATGGTGCTCTGTCTCAGGGCAATAGCGAGCTGCTGGTCTAGGGTAGCCATCTCGAGCGCTAGTGTTGCTGCATGTTCAACCTCTCGGTCGGTGGCGAAGCGCACTGTGTTAAGATCGAGGAAACCATGTTGGATGATGAGGTTTGCGACGTCCTCGTCGAGGTGTTGAAAACGGTCCATCTTCTGGTTGGTCTAATTTCTTTCCTTTTCATGCTCTCATGGTGGTCAAGTGTTGGTGCCCTCTCCAGATGCATCAAATGTCGGGTTTGTCTCTCACTTTGCTATTGTGAGCAGTACATATCGTGATACAGCGGCAAGTTGCGCAGGGATGAAAACAAATTCAAAATATACCAAGACTGTTGTTTTTCCTAGCGTCACGGGGCAGACTAACAAATCAGTGAATCCGTTTCTCATGGCTGTGTGATTCAGTCACCGTTGAGAGCGCCGCAGAGGTTTCTTCCGTCCGAAGAACCAGAGCCAGATTCATTTTGTACGCAAGGTATAGACCAGCAGCATATGTATTCGCTGTGGAGCTACGTGAACCTTGCTCCATGCTTATTTCTAGAACCAAAGATGGGATCGGTGCCACAAAAGCATTTGGAAAATATGAGAAGACATACTGTTGTTGCTGCTCCTATCTGGGCAGGATGTATACCTTAATCTCAACTTGACTCCGCTGAGCGGGGTGATATAGAGCTTTACGGGCACGACTGAAGGCTCTGCACATCACTTTCCAATAGTCTATTTTCAACAATCATTCCCTGAAAACAGACTACATCAACCAGATCAGGAATGAAATCTTGATATCTTGTTCAGATGCGGATCGTAAATACGACGTACCAATTAGCGAGCTCTCGAATTCATGCTTTAGACTCATGGTCGAACCCCTTAGAGAATTTGGCTTTAGTTTCAATGAATATAGTTAGTCACGCATGTCATGGATGCCATGGAAAGCAAACAAGTGTCATTAGAACAGTTGTGGACTGATTTGACTCAAACTGATAAATGACAAAAGAGCTAACACACCCCTGCCTCTCTTCTAGGCCGGATGAAACCGGACTGTTTCCCACCGCCTCCTCATAAAAGGATGTTATGCCCAAAGAGGTGGGTTTGATAGATCATCGGCTCCCTCACGCCATAAAAGCTGACTCCTTCATCAAACCATGATGGTATATTGTCGTCGACATTGACCGTGACATCTTTACTTGCTTTGTCCAAACAAACGCTGCGATATAGTGGCAAACCCGATTTCCGCCAGAATGAACCCCCAGAACCAACCGCCCATCGGTGGCCATGGCCAGTGAAACCCCCTGAACTCCGAAAATTGTTTAACTCCGACGCTGCTATCCGGGATATGATTTGAAATGACAAGGAAAGAAATAGAGTAGTAATAGTAACATCAGATATAAAGTAGACGATGGGTATCAATGATCAATAGCTGAAGTCCACATTGCCCATCTGGGATAACATCTTCGCTTCCGCTGACGTCGAGCTCGCAGTCGCGCCGGTGTTTGTTGATGTTGCCGAGTTTGAGTTTGTTTGTGAGGTTTGCGTAGTTTGTGTGGTTGAATTGGTCTGTGTTTGCTGCAATTCGTGTTCCGGAGGGGGCTGGCCACTTGGTGACCACCCTTCGTCCAGAATTTGTTGGAAGCTCCAGCTTGGTTCGAACCTGGTGCTGTTCCAGGCATAGTCAACACGTTCGTACATCTCGTCAATCTGTTCGAGACTAATCTTGCTGGTCTCAAAGACCATGCACCACACAAACAGGACCGCCAGAATACAGAAGGCACCCCACAGAAAGAAGATCTTAGGACCGATGTCCGCGTAGCCCGGCCCTTGGCCAACCATAAACGGAGTACCGTATGCAATGCCGAAATTCAGGAGCCAGTTGGAAGCGGTCGAGATCGAGGCAGCCTTTGCACGGATCTTTAAGGGGTAAATCTCGGAGGTGATAACCCAACATACAGGGCCCCAGGATGCTGCGAAGAAGAAGATGTTGATGGCGCAGAAGACGATCAGGATGGTCTGTGCGGCCTGTTGTAGGTTCTCACCGGCGGCCGTAGAGAAGGAGGCGATGAGAAGTTGGCAGACAGCCATGCCAATGGCGCCGACCATCAGCAGCTTGCGACGGCCCCAGGATTCGATAACCAAGAGGCCCGGAACTGTTCCCACAACGTTGATGATGTTGATGATGAGAGCTTTCACGTAGGGATTCTCGACCTTGGCTCCATCGAAGAAGGATGTGCTATAATACATGATGAAGTTGATACCCGTGAGTTGTTGCAGCATTTGAAGGCAACATCCAGTGAGAGTTCTTCGACCAAGGTGAGGGGACCCATAAAAGATTTCCTTGTAGGAGTCTGGGCCCAGTGTCAGTTCGTATTCGTGGTTCGCCACAATTTCCTGGAGCTCGTCGAGCAGGGCTGGATGGGTAATATCGAGGCGGCGGAGGCGACTAAGTGATAGACCGGCGGCTTCTGGCTTGCCCTTCTTGACAAGAAAGCGTGGTGTTTCGGGGAGGACAAGGAGGCCGAGGGTCAAGACGACGGCCCACACAAGTTGTAGACCAAGCGGGATGCGGTACGCGGCGCCCGAATCAAGCCTTGACGTCAAGATGTTGACAAAGGATGCGGATAACAGACCGATGGTGATGGAAAGTTGATAGGCGCAGACGAGGGTACCTCGAATCCACTTCGGAGCCATTTCAGACTGATAAACTGGTACGAGCACGGAGATAGATCCGACGCCGACACCAGCAAAAAACCTGCATGTTTTGTCAGCGACGCGTTGCGCCATGAGCCAACATAATCCCTCTTTCATCCGGCATACCTTCCGACCAGAAGCATTGGAATGTCGTGCGCGCAGACTTGGAAAATGCCTCCAAAGCTGAAGACGCCAGCGGATAAGATGAGCGAAATGCGACGGCCCCAACTATCGCCGATGGGTGCGGCGAGAAGGGCACCAAGGACAGTGCCGGCACTCAGGATTGCGACGATGATGGAGGATTCGGCGGGTGAAATAGCGGGCTTCATATTTTCGAGGTAACCGGTCGAGAAGTCTCGTCGAAAGGCCGTCATAGAGATGATACCGTTAATCGTTCTGCAGTCCGTCACAAATCAGCCTCCAAGTTCCCAGAGAATCCCCCACGAGCAAGAGTATGAGCACGAGCGCCATCGCGTTCTTTTTCTCTCTTGCTCTTTGTCGTTGAATTGAGGGTGCTACTCGATCGTGTGCGGCGTAGTGCTTACCCAGTGTCGTAGCCAAAGAGCAATCCGCCCGAGGCGACGAACAGGCCGACCATGATGGCCGGGGCCGACGAGCCGGCGACATTGTCGGGCTTCTGCCAGCCCATGGCTATCGCCATGGTGAACGGGGGTTCGGCGACAGCAATCCAGAATTGGACCGTGGTACTATGCGAGGGCGAAACTCTCAAACGTCGTCGAGAATCGAGGTGGAAATGGGCCGGCGACCATTTGAGTGAAGTGACGAGCAGCGGGCGAGTGAAGAGTGGTGAATCGACGAAGTGTGGGTAACGATGGATGGATAGGATGAAATGGGACAGGACAGGCAGACGGGTGTGGAGCAGGAAACAGGGAGACAGGTGAGGCAAGAAGGTCGGGCAGTCGGGTCCCGGGTACTCTAGTCAGTCCAGTTCGGAAGAAGGCCACAAGCCACCACAGTGGGAGACGGGGGGAGGCAGAGAGAGGGAGGAAGCAGCCTGAGCCAGAAGGGGCACAGAGAACACTGTGAACAGCGCGAGTCTGGGGTGTGTGGAACTTTGGGGGGAATGAGCCAGTCAGAGAGACGGAGGGGAAGGAGAAATATGGAGACGGAGGGCGGGTGAGAAAAGCAACAGCAGTCAGGGCAACGGGGGCAGGCAAGGCAGGCACGGAGGATGGAGACACTCACCACTGGACAGAAGGCTTCCGTCCTCCTACCACTTCAGCTTTTGTGCCCACCCTCAGCATCAACCCAGAAGAAGCAAAGCAGAAAAGGCAGCCGGCATCAGCGCAGCAGCGCAGCGAAGCCCCAAGTTGTCGTGAGCACACGGGGACGCGGCGACGAAGAATTCAAGTTGCGAGGGACAAACGGCTGCACAGATTCAGATTGACCACTGTGAGGCATCGACACAACGTGACAACCAACATTGAATCCTGCTGCATCCACCTCTTGCTGAAGGGACAAGGGAAGTACGGGAGGACGAGGGACCGTGGCACCGTGGATCATCAGCCCAAGTTTTGGAGGGGCCCTCGTCTATGGCTGGGTAGCGACTCTTGGGACTTGGTGAGAGTGCCTGTCTTGTCCCCTCTGGCTCCTCACGCTCCTCGACTCCTCTGGTCTTGTGCTGGGTTTTGCTTCTTCTGTGAGGCCCCAGCCAGGTGGCTGCGCCTTTAATTGGTTCTATTCAGACTGAGCGGTGAATCCGGCCGTGCTCATCTCGCCGGTCACACTGCACTTCATATGGGCTATACCGGATCCGGCCGTAGCGTCTATACTCTCGTTCCCCTTGGCGCCAAAAAGTAAAAGGCGGGAAGGATTCTGAAATTGAACGGGGTATCGTACGAATACTTTGTAGTGAATACCGTACTGTATACGAGACATTTCTGCACCTAAGGTAGCTATCCGTACCTTGCCCTAGACTTGTCGAGTCCTGACAGTACAGCCTCTTGGGCCTCCCTCCGTCGCTTGGAGAGGTAGCTGAGGTAGCTAATTTACGGATCAGGTAATTGAGAGTAATGAGGACCTCTCACCAACTGGTAACCCGCTGGTAGCCAACTTGCTTATACATGCCATGCTTTGGCGCCAGGTCGCCCCTTATTTGCGGGCGATGTTGATAGAAATCCAAATGCCAGTCACGTCTACCTAGGCTACAGGATGAAGTTCTTTCTCAGCACGGCTGGTTGCGTATACACATTCATACAAGCATACACTCCTGGAAACCTGCCAGAAAAGTCAGGTCAAGTCAAACTTTGCCCGCCAGGAAGCCGGGTTGTCCAATGGAAGCTCTAGTCGAATGTCTGACCATCGTCTCTTTTTCCCTTGGCTTCCCTGTAATTGGAGAAACTCACTTCCAACAGCCAGGGACAACAGGATGACGCACAGACGTTGAACATCTCTAGGGCTGCGCGTACAGTTCGAACATGCAGAAGTCAGTGTCAGTGGAGGGTTGGTTGTCTGGTCTGATGTTACTGATTCCAGGGGTGTCCCGAGCGAAGGGAACCCAGCAAAGTCTGTCGACAGTCTACCTACTTGCGGGTACCGTATAGGCTTATACAACTTTAAGCTGATGAAATGCCCCTCGATGAGGTACGGATACAAGCGATACGGGACCATGAGTATGTAGCTGTGCGATTTTTCAGACGCCCCCTTCCTCCCTCATTATTAGCGTACTTCCCCTCCTCGTCCCCGGGATCGGAGTCTCGGTCCAAGTTTCTCACTGGCAGACAAAGGCGACTCTGCATTAGCGAGCATCAGACTAGCCCAGCACGTGCCCAGCTAGGCAGGCAACCTGTAGGCGACGTACTGACGGACTGGGCGTCTTCCGGTATCCCACATTATGGCTTCCTGCTCCAGCTTCGGTCTTATGCTGTATCTTGCAGGCCGCACATGCATCCAGCCTACATTGCCTTGACTCAGCATCACCTGCATGTTGGACGCTGTCTTGTCCGCCTTTGACTACCTTTGGGCACGTAGGCTGTTGTTCTGTTGTACCACGCATGGTAGGCTTAGGCACTCGTACATCGTCCCAACTCCAGTTGGGTGCGAGCAACAGTGATATATGACTGACCGCTTGGAGGCTTCCCTCCTGGTCTAGTTCGCGGCCGTCACTTCTATGGAGGACGGCACAACTCCAATACTGGCAAGCGCAGTCATCGCGCTCTCACTGTGCTCTCATACCTGCATCTCCAACACTTCTCTCTCTTGATCTCCGACGCAGTGGCTTGCCTTGGCTTTTCAGCTATGTGATGGTCCCACGAGTGCGTGCTGCTTGCTACCTTACACCTGTGCAAGCTCTGGGAAGGGGCTCAGTTCGATGCCGCGGCGCCAATCTCCTCCCAGCTGGTGTTTGACAAGGCGAATGGTGTTCAGAAACGGTGTTGTGTATCTGTCATGCCCTCGTGCTGTTATATGGTACAGATGAGCAATCGTCGTGACTTAGGTACAAAGATAGAGGTAAGGATGACGACAACGAAAACGCAAGGCGTCCAGCAAAGCCGTTCAGCAAAGCCGTTCAGCACACTTTAGAACCCTTTGGCTGCCGGCGGCGGTCGCTACATGACTCCGAGCCTTGTCCTCGTCAGGTATCGCGTGCCTAGTATGTAGACTCCAGATGTGTGTGTGTGTGGAATGGAAAGGGCCGTTGGTGTCGGCACACAGTGTTAGCTTAATCCGGGGTCATATCACCATCGAAAAAGTCGATTGTACACACTGTGAGAGTTGGCCGCTTATCAATCAAATCACCAGCCTAACCTCGCGGGGTTTCTGATAAGGCACAGTGTGATTTCTCCGCAGGCACCCGGCAAAAGCCGGGCAGGGGTGACGGACAAGGAATAGAAGATCACCTCAGTTCGCGCAGGCCAATTGCGGGGAAACTCCGCAAAGTCTGACAAGAGCAGGTACGTACGTGCCTTGCCGCGGGTGGGGTCTTGACTCGCACCGACCAGCAGACTCCTTTCCTACCAGGCACTAGCGCTAGTCAACTTTCACTCGAACATTTACCGCGATTCCTCATCACCCAGTCTCAGATACAATTTACGGCCACAAGCCCAGGCAAACACCCCAAAGAGCTAGTCGACTTCGTTTGCAATGTACGCTGCTTCCAGCCGCGGCCAGCTCCAGTCTTTAAACTTTGTCCACTCAGAGACCCGCCCTCCACGAACCTCGGACAAGGACGACGACGCCCTCGCAACCTCACCCCATGACCATGCCGGCGTGCGGCATAGCTCTCTCCGCACCTGCACCACTACCTCATCACCGGTTTGTGATGAGCTCGAGTTCATGATGCTTCAGTGCCTGTCTTGTCTTGGCTGGATGGGCGCGCGAGGTCGGCCATGGATTATACTGGCAATATGCCTTCTTTCCCAGCTATATCCCCTGTGCCAGACGCAAACCACCCCGAACCATGGACAGGGGAGACCTCACTGACAACTGAGATGAGCGTTTTGAAACCAATTTATCACAAAATTCATAGCACTAGTACGTGTTTGGACACTGAAGGGCTGGGCTTGCCAGCAATAAACGGCAGACAACTACCAAGCGACAGCGCCTACCGAGCTTCGGAGCTCCATAAGCTTCCGCTACCCGTGTCTAGACAGCTCGAAACCCGGCGCTGCATGGCTGTCTCTTCAGCTCAAAATCCACCAATGCTGATAAGGCAGCTTCAGATTTCGATGGCAAGCTGTCCAAGGAGCAATGAGAGTCGACTTTTCCTGGTGGGAATGAAACAACTATCAAGGCATGAGACATGAGCATGCTGTCTCATCTGCACCAGCAAGCCACAAGCACCTTCTCAGCAATCTTACATGCAGATGCATGCGAATCAGCTCCGGCCTGCCTACACGAGGCAAAGGCCCGCACGGCTCATGGGACCCAGTTCCGCCCTACGAGATATCGCCCCAGCGCACTGACAGGCTTCAAGAGAGAAAGAGAGGGTGAAAACGGTCCGAACTCGACCTTCTGGAATATTCCCGGAGCATTGCAACAGATACCCACACATCGACGATGAAATGTGCTTCAGAGATCTAGAAAATTCTGGAAATGCTGACGAGTGCTGCCCATACCCTCGCGCTGTTTTTCATAATTGATAAGCCTTGGTATGGGACGTCTCATAGCAGCACGTTCCCACTACCTGGAAAAAGCCACTTATACCACTAGACGCCGAGGTGCTGGTCTGGAATCCTTTCCAAATTGCATTCGAGCAATCCTGTCTATGCCTAGTTCTAGGGTCGAGCACCTCCTCCTACACCTGATGCTGCAATCTGAAATCTTCGACGAGCCCCTATGGTACACGAATCGAGCAGCCTGGACGGCAATCAGAGTCCCAGGCTTGCTCCTGGGTATGTGACATTATGGCTTGTATCTGAGTGAAACATGCACAGTCTGCACAGTACAAAATGTATGGTCTTCTGGCCCCTTTCTCATCTCCTCTGATAAGATGGAACAGTACATGGCAAGCCTTGACGTTCACAGGTGGCGCTGTCAATATCTGTCTGACGTTTGTCCCAAGTCTCACAGGAACGGCACAGGCTGTGGCAGGCAAGGGTGAATAGGATGTTCAGTATTGGTGGCATGGAGGCTGTCTCGATCCATCCTCTAAGCCCCGACGATTGCAAATACTCGGCTTACTGTCAGCTGCAAGCTCATCTGCAAGTCCATACGGGCGAGCCTTGCAAGGCAGCAACCTATGCGATCTCGCATCAGCCTATCACTTCTCACCAAAAGCATCGTATGGGGCACTCTCCCGACCAATGCATGCTTGTTTGCTACAATACCAATGGGTCAGTGTGTAATGTAGAGTCGGAGGAAGAGTCACTAAAGTAGGATGTAGAGAGAGACTACTTTTTTTTAGCCACTCGCCAGGGCCAGCATCTGGTAGCTCCTCGTCGGCAGGGACAACATCTCACAGAGAGAAGAAACATAATGCAAACACTGACCAGTATCCGTAGTTAGAATGGGCATTGGTAATAATATCGGTGGAGAACCAGGCGGGTACAATTTGACAGGTGATTCCCTCCTATTACGCCTTGGGTGTGGGTTGGCGATGATCTGCTCCTCCGGATCGACTTGCAGTGATCAACGGCAGTGCGGCACCGGCTCGGGTACCGCCGTGCCCGGGGAAAATCCCAACCACCAGGCGAGTCTCGAGCTCTCTATCCCTACTATGTCTTTCTCGTTGTGCACACAAGTGTAACTCCGTCTCAGGTCAGGATACTGCAGCAGTATCACACCTTAGCTGCCCAAGATCTTGTCCGGTCGTGGAGGAGTTCATTGGAAGGTATGGTCGCGAGGGGGGCTCATCTCGTCACCCAAACTGATACAAACTACCTAAACGCCACTTGTCTCCCGGAGAATCTGAAAATGGGTCTCGTCAATCTACTGTCGACTGTTGATGACGGTGTAGGAGGCGGTTTGCCGCCGGCTTTCTGATAGGAGTGCTCATAAACGGTTCCATGATTTTGCAAAGGTATATCTAATCCGGCTTGCATGCTCTCGCATCATCATATGCCCGCGTCTTCAGTTCTATAATGATCAAATGCTTCGTCTTCCTTCTCATGCTCCCACAGAGCGCTACAAATGCATACATGCCGACCACCACGGAGGGCTGTGCTGAGTACATATGTTCGCTCGAATAACCAACTTGGAGCTTCAAAATGGGTTGGAAAGCCGGTGTGAACGACCATCTATTATCCTTCCTTCAACCTTCTGTGCTTGATTTTTCAGTGAGATAAATAAGCGTGTCGCATGTTCTTCCATTTCTTACTACCATCGTTGCCGCTCCGGCATCTGGTATCATGGAGCAAGCAGTCGCTCACAAACGTAGCTCCTCACTCTGTTATTGAGCGCTCATTGAATGACTTTTGTTGCTGATGAGAGGGATCGGTCAGACAAACCGCAATCGTGTCATGGAGGTTATGACCTCGTACTAACACCTGATTCTCTAGTGGAGATTATGCGCCATTGCTCGTTCGGATCGAATTCAGAATCTTGCCGAATCCTCTGCAGGGCTCGAGGAAAATCAGGCACATTCACCTCCTGCTGGCAGGCTGTCGCCATGAATCTTGCATTTTCCACCTCAACCCCATCGTCAAGAGGCCCCACGTCTCTGCCACTGGGTGTGTTGATTCTGGAATACGCTGCGGCTTGCTTGGAGATGTGTCCGAAGACCACCCGACGCGCACTTACTTATTCGAGTCTCACTCCTGAGACGAGAAAAGCTGGTTGATGCTCAAAGAGTACGAGTATAGCCCAGAAGATACTCATTCCAGCTTCATAAATGCATGCTCTAAAGTTGAAAGCACCTGACAGAGGCCCAGTGGTCCTGACGCTGAGGGAAGAGAGGAATTGATACATGATGACCACGTATGGTACAGGCGACAAATCCGGGGAAGAGATAACGAACTATATTCATGTACGGAATTCATTCCCCAAGGAGAAAGAGGCACGAGGCAGCAAGTGAGTGGTATGGTTGTTAGAACGTAGATTTACATCCCAGGTCCCCTTGCAATTGACACACAGTATCCGTAGACGGTATAAAATATATTTCAATATTGTAGAACAGAGACTGGAAGTGATTCCAATACCATGAGGGTTTGTCTTGACAACGTGACTCGTAGACCATTGTATATCAAGACTACTCATGACCCAAACTACCCACGACCCAAACTACCCATACCCAAATGACGCCATAACCCAAGTTAAATTCCCATTGCTCATAATGCCCACACACAAACGAATGAATGCGGTACTCTCGAATAGGGCATCAGGTATGGTACTCTGTGCCGAGAGAGCCATTCTAACGAGCAATCTGGAAGAACTGAGAGGAGAAGGACATTTTGTACCGCATCCTTGATAAGCACGCTTCTGTCAAATTAAAACACATTTAGCACCGTCTTTCGTGGGACATGTACGTGCCCTCTTCTAAGTCTTTGGACGTACCAAGAAAGCAAATGCTGTCCATACAGTCAAGAGACAGTAAAGTGCGTTTTAATGAAAGCGTAAATGCTTTCGAACAAGATTTGTGACACGGGCGTTTGCTATAAGCATCTTTCTCTTTAATCAAATACACGTGTCTTCCCCTAGGTAGGTAGGTGGCCCTAGACATGTCAAAAACTCACAATTGATGAAAGACAGAGAAGTGGCTTTGCGAGTAGGCTTTGCGAGTAGGCTTTCCTTCATATGTGCATTTGTTGTCTTATACGAGTCGATGAAGAAGAAAAACACCAAAGCCAGGAGGCACATGAAAGTAGCAAATAACTTCATGAATTGTAACGAGTCTCGAGGTAACATGTCCTATTCCCTGGACTTTCCCAAACGCCGGCGCTGAATATGCTTAATCGTCCTCCCCAACCAACTCGTGCATCCCATCTGGCACCCATCTCCAACAGTTACTCTTCATCCGTATTCATACAATCAAAAATACGTTCAGTGTCCAATACCTCCAGCCACCCAGTTGTTCCAGTCCGGGTTGCCCGGTGGAGGGAAGAGGCCCTGATCTTGCTGTTGTGCCGCGGCAGGTTGGCCCTGTTGACCTTGTTGCCCCTGCTGTTGGCGTCTCTGCGCCTCCTCCTCCCTTCGATGCTGCTGCTGCCTCTGCTGCCTGTAGTAGAGAAGAAGCACCAGAGACAGAGCAAGGAAGACGATGATGAGGCTCTCAGCGATGCCGTCGTCTTCAAGTGGAATGCCGTCTGCGCCTGTACCGCCGATCGTGTCATCAAAGATGTCTTCGTAGTACGGGTCATCATAGAACAGCTGGTCATCCTGCAGGAAGTTGGCAATCCACTCGCCAAGTGACCAGTCCTTCTTGGGCTCTGTTGTTTGGTAAGCATTCTGTATGAATTGCAGTCTATACGTGATGGTTACTTACTGGGATCGTCTTGGATTGAGTGAATCGGGCCGTGAGTGAACGTGTTCCATGCGCTTCGGACGCGCAGCTTTAGTAAGCTCAAGGTGACGGGAAGATAAGCCTCCTCGTTGACATCGAGTGCTTGATCGTAGTATCTCTTAGCCAGATGGAAGTCTTGGGTCAGACCAATGCCATTTTCGTGCATCCAACCAAGGTTCCAAAGGGCCTGGGCACTCTGCGAGTAATCCGAAGCGCCAGTATAACACTGAACAGCCTTATTCACATCCGGTTCAGAACCGATACCATGGTAGTAGTAGTCGCCCATCTTGACCTGCGAGTCCACGTTCGATTGCCTGGATGACCTCGTCCAGTACATTAGGGCAAGTCTAGGGTTGTTTAGTAGGTTAGGGCGAGTGTGTTGTTGGAGGCCGAACCACTCGGGAAGCGGCAGCCAGTCAGGCAGTGGAAGTCTCGACTGGACAGGGTCAAGAATAAAAGCGACGTTGTTTTGCGCGCGCTCGTAACCTTGCTCTGCTGCCATGACGTATTCCAAGAAAGCAAGCTCCTCGTCACCGTAGTAATAGGCCTGGTTCGCCTCAGCCCATGAGGAAACGAGCGGCTCGGCCTTTTCGGCAACGTTCTTGTAGTATCCCAATGCAATCTGGCACGTCTTGTCGCGGCCCACACCATTGTAAACCATCTCAGCGAGATAGTAGTGGGCCTCGATCTGGCCGTATCTAGCGGCAAGTTCGAAGTAGTTATTTGCAATGCGGACATCCTCTGCTCCGCCCTGGTCCAGGTAGAGCACGCCCAATTCGATCTGAGATGGAGCAAAATCCTGCTCCGCTGCTGCCTTGAAAAGGTCGGTGGCCATGGCAACATTCTTTGGCGTCCCGTACCCGTGAAGCATCATGAGACCAAGCCCATACTGGGACTGAGCATCGCCGTGAGAAATGCCGCGCTCGAACCATCTCTTAGCTTGATCAAAGCTCTGATCAACACCATCGCCACGGAGGTACATGCGGCCGATGAAACCAGCCGCCTTGCTCGCCGTCTTTTCGATACCCTGCTTGTGGTTTTCGATGATACGACCATCCTTGCGCCAGTACCGTTTCGCCACAGTAAAGAAGTATTTGCGAGCGAGATCCAAATCTCGGTCCAGACCTCTCTGGCCCTCGTAATAGATCCGTCCTAGATTGTAAGATGCCTTGGCGTCGCCCTTTTGCGACATGAGATCAAGATACTCGATTACATCGTCGATGGCGGCATTGGCGTCGGAATTGGGGCTCACTTTGATAGCGTTCATACCGGCACTCGAAGCGCTAGCACCCTCACCGTAGACTCCGCCGAGCTCATCAGCGATGCGGTACGACTCGACCACCCAAGCCATGCCGCTGGGTGGGCCCGAACGATACCAGTCCATTGCCTTGTCCGCCACTCTCTTGTAGTACTTGCTCGCAGCTTCGCAGTTCTTCGGCGTTGCAATGCCACTATGGTGACGGTAGCCGACAGCCATTTCCGCGCGCGTATCGCCTTGAATCGCTGCGAAAGTGTAGTAGAGTAGTGCCTTTGCCTGATCGGGTGCAACGACATGGCCAATTCCAGTCGCATAGTAAAGACCAATCATGTACTGTGCGGTGCGGTTTCCGTAGAGCGTCGCGAGGGTGTGATAGTGATCGAAGGCGACCTTGAGGTCTCTCGGGTAGGTGTAGTTGCCGTAGAAGTTCATCTCGGCCAGGAGGTAGAGGGCATCCGTGTTGTTTTGTAAAGCAGACTGCTCTAACAGCTTCACGGCCTCCAACAGTGGACCGGTGACCTTGGTCTCTTGTGTCGGATGGCTGCCGGGGACAGGCGCAGCCTTCAGGCTGGGCACGAATTTGAGGGCATATCGGAGCACGGTCCAAACGACTGTGTAGCGGCGTTCACGTCTGGGGTAGGTTCGAGGTGGGAGCTTGACCAGCTGTTCAATGGCGAGTTCGACCAAGTCCGCTCCTACATGAAATCAGTTCAGTTGATCATATCCCCCTACCATCGCGAATAATGTACATACCGGGCTGCCTCGGAGGTGGGGTGTGATATTCTGGGAGAACATCCGTTTGTATTTTCGCATGCTTTCCTTCGTCGCTGCCGTGACTCTTTTCGTATTCGTTCAAGACCTTTTGCTCGTCGACGCAGAACACAGCTACTGCCTGCAAAAGCACTACAGAATATGTCAGCTTCCGGTTAGCTGTGTAAACGGCGGGATTGTCCACTTACGGGCTGGCCAAAGCAGCGAACGCCTCATATTGAACGGTAGTTATGTTCCAAATTCGAGCGCAAAGTTCCGCGACATGTTATATTTCGCAGATTTGCGTTGGCGGGCGGATGTTGGCTGGTGGTTCTAGCAGTTGCGCAGCTCGTTGCTTTCAGAACAGCTGTCCTGGCTTTAGGTCCACGTAAATAGAATTGGGAGCTCTAAGGGAACAGGGATAGTCCACTACATGAGACATGATTGGTCACCAACTTGGCAGGAGACCAGGTACACAATACCGCTGTAAAGGGGCGCTAGCAAAAGGTTTCGCATACTTGTATAAAGCGGGGTTTTGCATCAAAATGATTTCCCATTGACCAGCCGTCGAGTGATGACTGACATCTGTTTCTGTGGTTTATACAAAGTCTGTGATTCGCCAAATTTCAAAATCTTAGCTTATAAGAGTGAGGCGAAGAGCAGGAGCTCTATAATTTGGCGAGGTCATAGAAGTTAGAGAAAACGCTTTCTCAGCTTTGTGCGACGAGCGTCCAGTAAGTAGTTGCAAATCACAATTTTTTGGTGTAGGGTCCATGCTCATACAAAGTAAGCAGTACAAGTCAACGTGACGTGAAGATGTACAATCTCTCTTGCGTGGACGGCCATCGATTTGGCGATGTCTACGTTCTTGACATTCAGAGGCTTAGTGTTGGCTTGTCTGCCGTCTCATCGGATCAGAAACTCAGTCTCTTCGATCCTGCGCGAGTGGGCCAAGGCCCTATCAAATCATACCAGACCAACCATGGCAACCTAACATGCCTCAAGACTTTTGACTGGCAGAATTCGGTTGTTTGCACGGCGGGAGAGAATGGACAAGTTTCTGTCTGGGATATGAGGGAAGCATCCAAGCCGCAGGTTGCCCACTTTGCGGGTATGTTTTTTTTTTTCACTCTGAGAAGGAATGAGAGTATCTGACCGAATCCACCAACACGGCGTTCAGCTACACAATCACCCATTCTTTCCATGGCTTGTGACCCGAGAAACAACACGATAGCATTAGGCACGGAATTTCAAAACCACACCGCATCCGTACTACTCTGGTAAGTCGTTGAACCAAAAACTACCTACTGCCCGATTTCACAGGGCCCCTGACAAGGCTACAGGGATATAAGAGCCGGCCCGAAGCAGAGACTCCAGTACGATGAAGTCCACAGTGACGATGTCACGGAACTCCGCTTCCACCCTTCCGAACCGCACATCCTCCTCTCGGGGTCCACCGACGGCCTCGTCAATGTCTATGACACGCGTATCTCCGATGAAGACGAGGTTGTCGTCCAGACCTTGAACCAGGGCTCTGTTCATCACGCCTCTTTCCTCAGCAATACCGAGGTCTACGTGCTGACCCACGACGAGAAACTGGCCGTCTACAGCGTCGCTGAGGATTGCGGCTCTGGCGCGGCTCTGGTCGACTTTGGCGATGCAAGAGAAGCCCTGGGTTGCCAGTACATTGCCAACGTGACAACCAAGGTTGATGGCAGTGGCGCTATTGTCGGTGCTGGTTCACAAGAGTAAGTTGCCTTCGCTTGGGACCTGATCCCAATGTTTGAAAGTTTGACTAACAAATGTACTAGCCGTCAAGTATTTGAGTTAGTGCACCTATCTTGTACGGCCGAAGGCAGCTGGGGTTTCGACAGGGCGAACAGCGTCGGTCTGCCAGGAGGCCACGGCGAGGAGATCATTCGGTCGTTCTGCTTCTATGACGATGAGCAGGTCGTCTTCACTGCTGGAGAGGACGGTAACATCAAGGCGTGGAGGCCCACATAAGCAAGGAAATAGCAAGAAGAAAAAATCAAAAAGTTTCAGAACGAAAGTGAGTTGTTTCATGGCTATGCTGCTCATTGCGTCTGGGTATCATCTTTTCCTTTTCGTGGTGCCAAAAAAGTCGTCTTCCATACTAGCCGTACTTGTCGTGCTTCCCCTTAACCTTCAACATCAATAACTGCTCATGGTAGTCGCCCTCCCTTCTCGCCCTCTTCAACTTTCTTACTTCGTCATCCTCGAGCCTGCGTCCTACGGCCTGTTCGAGTTCCTTGCGACTGATCTTTTCCTTTGCCTTTTCTTCTTTACTTGCCTTGAGTCGCGGCTTGAACCTCGCCTGCATCCTGATACGCCATGTGGTGTTGAATGTGATGGACCCTTCGTCGCCTCTGACGTCGGAGGTGGTGACATTGGGTTTCGGTGGCTTGACGGTGAGGAAGGTATCACGTAGCGTCTGAATTTGGAACGTGCCAGGGGTATCTGCTGTTGCAATAATATTGAAAGATTCTAGCGGTGACACAGCCGGCGACGTCGCTGATAATACTCCATTCTTGTCGCACCCAAGATATCTGTCGCAAAGTGAGTACCTGGCTCCCATCAACAAGACGTCATGCTCACTACTTACTGTCCGTGGTGGCCCTTGAATCTGAATTGCTCCGTCCCTGTTGTCCTATTCGCAACCCATACCTGCCGCACGTCATGCGGCTCAGCCGTCGAAGGGTTGCTCTCGACAATATTCTCGATTCCAAGCGTAAATATCTTGCCAACGGCATCACACGCCAATGCAGCGGGTGGTTCCGTCGGCAAGACGAACATGACGGGCCCGACGACGTCCGTCACGGCATCGGCAGACACCCAGCTATCGTCGTCGTCATCGTCCGCATTCGCCGTCAATGCGGAGACCCCGCCGGTACGGATGACCTCCCCGCCCTGCGCGTCGCGGTCCTGGGCCTCAGCTTCCGTTCGCTTTCTCTTCTTCGGCTTCTTGTCGCCCTTGAAGGACAGGGGTTTGACCATCGCGTTTAATCGCTTGTGTTTCGTGTGTCCTTACTCGTAGTGCTCGATAGGGAAGGTGAAATGCGTTATCTTTGCGGTTTTCGGGAATAACCGGTGGTTTCTGGTGCTGTAAGGTATGCTGGAATGTCAAGTGCACGTATAAAATGGCGATGAGTATAGTTCGAGGACGTTTGGACATTGTGATTACATAAGGAGCTGTCTGTGCCCCTCCCCCACCTTTTAGGTATCGACCCGGCAGGTGGTATCGCGGAAGCTTGTTGATGAGCCTACGATCTGACTGGATTCTTTCTCGTTTCATTCGTTGCTACGATTTTAGATTTCTATAGCCCAGACGAACGCCATGTTCAAGATGGCAAAACCGATTGTTGTGTCTCTCAACGATCTCAAGGAGGGTTAGTACCATGGCGTTGTGTCATGAAAGAGGAGCAGCTTACATGTGAAATTTCCGTCATAGGCAACGTTCCCTTCGAGACTCTGAAGGAGGCATTTGGGCCCGAATCTCTGGGTATCCTGTTGGTCAAGGATGTGCCGCCAGAATTCACTCATTTGAGGCAACAGACCTTGTCTTACGCCTCTTACTTGGGCAACCTCCCCGAAGAAGAGTTGGGTATGAATTGAATAGCTGCCTGTCTCATTATCCCTGCTTACACATGAGTAGTCAAGCTTGAAAATGAGAAAGCCAAATACCTGACGGGCTGGTCCCTGGGAAAAGAGACACTGAAAAATGGTCAAGTTGACACATTCAAGGGCTCCTATTATGCCAACTGCGCGTTCTATGTTGATGCAGCCCTCGACTGTGCTAAGCCGACCGCCGAATTCAACCAGATTAACTTTCCCGAGTATCTATCGCCTAATATTTGGCCGTCACAAGACGTCCTTCCGGGGTTCAAGCCTGGCTTGGAGAGCCTATGCAGAATCATAATTGATACGGCCGTCTTAGTAGCCCGAGCATGCGACAGATTTGCTGAGTCCGAGATCCCAGGATATTCCAAGGGCTACCTTGAACATGTCGTCGGTACATCGAACACAACCAAGGCGCGCCTTCTGCACTACTATCCTCAGACGAAAGAAGCCCTCTCTAAGATCGGTGCAGCCGACGATGACTGGTGAGCTTTCGAATCGGAAACGCTATGAGGAAGTAACTAATAGATACAAGGTGTTCGAGGCACAAAGATCATGGGTATATGGCCCCCAAGATTTGAAGCTGCGAGTGCTAACACCCTCGGTAGATGTCTGACTGGCCTAACTTCTGCCATGTTCATTGACGAGAAAGAGACTTCGACCGCAGTACCTAAAGCTACAAATAGCACTTCGGCAAGTCTGCCGCCTCTCGCAGAGCTGGCTGCGTCTCCCGATCCATCGGCAGGGCTGTATATCGAATCGCGGAGCGGAGAGACGGTGCAGATCAAGATACCGCGGGATTGCATCGCTTTCCAGACTGGCGAAGCGTTAGAGCGCATCACGGGCGGCAAGTTCAAGGCAGTACCGCACTTTGTAAGAGGGGTCAGAGCAGCAGTGAGCGACGGCCGCGTTGCGCGTAACACGTTGGCCGTCTTCACTCAGCCCAACCTCGGCGAGGAGGTTGACATTGAGCAGCATATAACATTTGGCGAGTTTGCGCGGGGCATCGTGGCTAAGAATACTGTATCGTGAGAGTGTAATTCCGTTGATGAGAGTATAAACGAAGCGTGCTAGTGTCTAATTCGGCATATTAATTGCTCCGGCGTGTGTTGCTGTTGTTCAAGTGAAGCCGACCCCGAGGTTGAATTAATTTGTCAAGATTGTTCGGAGCCATTTGGTGGGGCGCCCGACAACAGGGGCCCGGCCGGTAGTCCCGGAGTTCGGTACTTGGTTAAAGGGAGCCAGTCTATACTCCGAAAGGCAGCTCAGAGCCGTAGCTGGTATTCCAAATCATTGTCATAGAGAATTAGTCAAGCCGAGGCTCATAGAAGCAGAAAGATAGCGCATAAAATCTTTGGAATTGCGTGATGCTAATGGTGAGTTTTGAGGCGCTCAGTCAGCAAGCATTCGTGCGCTTGCATCATGATTGCAAAACCTCACCCATTGGCAGCCAGCTGTGGACAAGCCGCTCTATCAACAACAGAAGCTACCCCGCCCCCGCCGCCTGCTCCAATGGGGAAACTTCGTCATCACCCATTATTGCTGCTGCTGGGCCACCCGCATCACATAACCTCCAGACAAGCTCCATGAAGCTCCCCCCTAACGTCTTATTAAACCTGAATCGACGCCCAATCTCTGCGTCGTCTCTAATCCCACTCGTCTCGTCCTCAAATCCGACGATACGCATCAGCAGAAACACTGCACTCTTACAACGCAAACTAAGCACCAGCAACACATCTCGTTATCGACAAACACCACCAACAATGGCCGTGCCACCAAAGTTCGCAGCTCACAAACTCACCTTCGGAGCGCCCAAGCCCTCCACCGATGGCGTCCCCTCGCAGCCGCACACCATCGAGCTCTACCTCGACTATGTCTGCCCCTACTCGGCCAAGCAGTTCAACACCTTTTACAACGCCGTCGTGCCCGCCATCCGCGGTAACCCAGCCTGGGCCGCCAACCTCGAGGTCATCTTCCGCCAGCAGGTCCAGCCCTGGCACCCCTCCAGCACGCTTGTCCACGAGTCCGCCGTCGCCGTCGTCAAAGTCGCGCCGCACAAGTTCTGGGCGTACAGCGACGCGCTCTTCAAGGCGCAAAAGGACTACTTTGACGTCAACGTCGTCAACGAGCCGCGTAACGACACGTACAAGCGCCTCGCGAAACTCGCGGGCTCGGTGGGCATCGACGAGAAGCAGGTCCTGGACCTGCTAGTCGTGTCGGACAAGCCGGACGCCGAGGGCGCGCTCAACGTCGGCAACGGCGTGACGAACGACTTCAAGGTGCTCATCAAGCTCGCGCGGTTGACTGGCGTGCACGTCAGCCCGACAGTGCTGTTTGACGGGTACCCGAACAATGAAATCAGCTCCGGCTGGACGCTCGACCAGTGGAAGGAGTGGCTCCAGAAGAACATTGTTTGACTCAAAGGACGGCGGGAATCGACTCGGGAGCACAGGCTTTGAGTTGGTGAGATGTTGATCCGCCAGCGAATCTGGCAGGGTCTCAATATCGGAGCCTGGCATTGGCGATCTTCAGTCACATCGAATGTGATCCTAGCATACATGGCTAACTTGGATCAGAGAGTGAACTCAATGAATTAAATTCAAATTGGTTTTTAGTTACAGATTGTGGCGTATCAATTGCTTTTCTCCCCCTCAATTTACTTAGTGATGGAATGAGACTACATCAACCCGGCGCTGGATGCCGATTAAGTCAAGTCGCGTCGCGTGGGGGAAAAAAAAAATAAATTGGCTGCCCAAGTGCGCGCAGTGACCTCATCCGCCGCAGCATCTCATTTCATCCCATCAAACTCTCACTCTCCCTAATCCACCCAACGAGCACCCCTTCTCTCTCACTCTACCCTATCCAGCGGACAACTTCACAATGTTGCTCCTACGCATACGGCAGCCTCCGCAAACGACACGTAGCCTCCTCACGCTGCGACAATGCGCTCTCCGCCCAGTCCTCCGGAAATCTTTTCCTTACCAACGATGTAGTCTGAGACGGCCCTTCGCCTCCGCACCGCCGCCCACCGGTCCTCGGGCCGTCACACCACCAAAACCGTCCGTCGCCGGAGGCTCTGCCCGGGCCGGGAGCGCACGTAAGTACTTAGACCCATCCGAAGGCACCAAAGTTTAGAATGGGATATCCTCATCCACTGCGTACGACAGAGGGCTAACGGTGCGTACCAGAACTGCCCGAAAGACTACTCATCTATCACGCCGGCACTGGCCGGACGGCCTTCCTGGCCTTTTGGAAGATCACCGCCGTCTTCTCGTGCGCCTTCTTCTGCTTAGTGGCCGCTCCCAGCTACGTCCGCGCCGAAGACAAGACGCTCACGCAGGCAGCGGGATGTAAGTTTTTGCCCTCATCTCATACCTCTGGTCCCCCTCGCAACCGCAACCCCCTCATCTCCTCTGGTTCTGTTCTCGTCGACATATCTTCCCCCTCTCTCATACACACCTCACCCCTTTGAACCGCTTCGAGAGTTTTCATATCTGCTTGGAAAACCAAAACCACCCATCGCCCTCATTAACAACCCAAACAGTGGCCGCCTGCGGCATAATCCCCTTCCTCTTCGTATCCTACACCTCAGCCCCCTTTGTAACCTACATCTACCTCCGCCTGCCCCCTTACGCGCGACAATCCCGCACCCTCCTGGAACGCTACGTGCGCGCCCTCCCGCCCACGGCCCAGCTCGAGCTCGGCACAATGGGCCTGGCGACCCGTCCCCGGACGACCCTCGTCACGGCCGCCGAGCTCCGCCCCGTACCCGCCGCAGGCGCGGGAGCGGGGACCCTGGCCACGCGCTTCGGCATCGTCACGCATACCAAGGACGTCTCGGCGCTGATGGCGCAGCGGAAGTGGTACCACTACCGTCCCGTCGGCCAGTTCGGCATCAATACGGGTCTCGAGACGAGTCGCAAGAGCAGCAGCGGTGGTGGCGGCAAGGGCGTGAGTCACGGCGTCAAGGATGGCTGGGTCTGGAACATTGTGCGCGAGTCGCTCGGTAAGCGCAAGTGAAGGAAAGGAATTGCCAAGAGATTCTCGCTTTCGATTCCGGGACTTTAGGGAGAGGGCCCGGCCAACGACGTGGCATTTTTACGATTCAAGCAGGAGAGGGAGGCGAAATGAAGTGTACGTATGCTAGGTAGTACACGTTCGCTGCGTTGTCTAGAGGGGTACTCATGAGGGGAGGGCGTGTGATCAGAAGCCTGCGGGAATCCCGGTCTTCATCGCGCGCGGCAAGCATCCCGTTCGATATTGATGTCAAGACGGGAGAGACAGACGACGATTGTATATTATCAAAAGAACAAACAGAAGAAAACACACACATATACCCCCTTCCCTGACACAGATGCACTGCGCTAGTCATTCAGAGTCGCCACGGCCCATAAAAGCGGATCGAGTCAAGAGGGGAAGGCGACGAGGAGCTACTATGGACCTTTCCAACGTTAACGGTGGGATCGCAGCCCATGTGGTCGTGGAGGTGTTCATACTTGCCATACTCCGTATAGGAGGCAAAAAGGTCCAGGTTGAACCATGTTCCGGAAGGTAATCGCTAGGTCATCGCTTTCGGAGTTCCATTTTCGCCGCTGACAACCTCGGAATGTCTATCCATACCTTCAAGTCTCTCACACACCCACCCTCCTCATCTGGGCCCAACTGGAGGTTTCTCTCTCATGTAGAAAGGTGGTTGGTCGGAGAGAAGAGAATGCGAAAGTAGAGGTCACCAAAGGTCCAGAGCGGAAAGCCAAAAACGAAAGCGAGCTGACTTTGCGTCTGCCGGGGGCCACATTTCAGCCCCCCAGCCCCACTTCCAGCCGCCACCACCACGAGAAGGTATCCGTCCCTCCTCGGCCACCTCCGTCCATCCGTGGCCGCCGCCGCCGCCGTATCGGCTTCCACTCCCACCACCCTTCGCGTCCGGGCGCCGAGAAACCCCCGAAGGATACTAATAAACTCCGACCCATCCCATCCTGAGACCCCGACTCGTTTTTCTACCCCTCCTGACAGCTACCAGAAAAGCCTCGTGGTTCAACGTCCCGAAACCTCAAAGGTAGTAGTGTCGTTGCCGATTCGTCTCGCTGCCACCAAAAAGAAATAAAATATTCTTTCATCCCTATGAAACCCGGCATGCGGCAGTGCATCCGGTAACATCATCCTACAAGATCAAAATTCAAGAGGAGGAATGCATAATGCTAACCTATGTTGCCGATGCCATCGGAGACGGGGTTCAACGTCCGGTAGCCGTGAGCTTGTCCACAAAACAAACTGGGGGTTCAACAACAGCCGGAGACCGAGTACGTACTGTACCTTTATGCGTGTGTCATGTTTCGCAAGTCAAAAGAGGATGGTTCCAACATTGTTTAAGTCCGAAACAAGAGACGCACGTCGACGCAATATGCATACTTTTCCAAAACAACAGCCCAACTTCAACCCTCGGCCACGCGGCCACGCCGAGAACTAACCTCCCTTTTCGATCCCAACAAGAAAAAGTATGAGAGCAGCAACAAAGGACGGAAAAGCGGGGAAACCCGTTATGCTCCCAAGACCAAAAGATGCGATGAAAATGGAAGCAAGATTCGGGTCTATTGGACTGCATATCCTAGGTAGAAGAAGGGGGGGGAGGGAAGACACATCTGCAAGGATTCCAGACATCCCAGAATATTCATTCTTCATTCCCCTTCCTCGTCCAGCCATCACCCTACCCCCCCTTTGGCCCTTTGGGCCTTTCTTTCTAATTACCTCCCCCCTTCGTCGGGCTCACCCCTCATTCTGCACGCCACGCATATTCTTGCGCAAATCCGACGCACTCTATCGGCGATATACGGACCCGGTCTGACCGTTGAGCGGCCAGAAGAGAGGGGGGGGTGGGGGGTTTGGGTTGTAAACAAATCATCGTCGCAAAGTTGAATACGTGCAATTTCAAACTCTAAAGGCGATCTCCCCACGACAATGTATGTCACTTGGCCAAGTACAAGGCCGTGGAAGAGAGGGAACCTTTGCCGCACGTGCTTGCGCAACTGTAAAATATCCCCCATACTCCCCCGCCGCTGACCCAAAAAGCAGGAAATCGACCTGGTCCCAGCTGCGAAACACGAGGCATAAGGAAGATAGGTAGGTACCCATGCGAGCGCCAACTAATAGGTCCTGTGTCTGTACGCCGATCTGGTACACGTATCCACGCGACTGTCTCTCAACTCACCGTCTCATTCCCTGTCGGGCTTCGATGAGTGACGGACATGGAACGTTCTCGACCCTGCCCGTCATTTTTTAACCTTTCCTCCTGCGTGTGTATCGGTAAACCCCCCCCCCCCCCCCCCCCCCCCCCCCTCCCCCCCCCCCCCCCCCCCCGCCCCGCACTTTTTAACCCCCCCCCCCCGCGTCTGGCGCAACCCCCCCCCCCCCCACCAATTTACGGCAGTCGCCAATGCCCCAGCGGCAAACCACAGCGGCAAGCGTCATTATGAAGCGAAGCTGGAGAAGAAGAATCGGAAGAAGCTTCTAATGCAGTACTCTGTATTGTCAGTGGTGATGGAAGGTCAGCTGCTCCCTATAAGGGTCCTCATCGGAATGTCATTGTCAATGCTCCCACACTCTCGCCGGGTCAGGGCCATTCAGACACCGAATACCTCGGCATCCGAATCCCGGCTTCCGCGCCGTCCTCTCATAACCTCCGTCTGCGGCGTTCCCTACGACGGAATGGCCGACAGGCAAAATTTCTTTTCGTGAGGCGACCAAGTGGAATAAAACGGGCAGTACGCGAGGCAGAGACGTACAGGTAGGTACTGCAGCCGACCGCCGAGACCTACTTTAACTTCGTGTCGGTCAGCCCGTTTGCCTACGGATACTCTTGGGTTGTTCAATCGCCTTCTGACACATAGGTGTGGTGGTGTCTAAGACAACGCCTTTGCATGCAGCGTCCGCGCTAGGAAGTTGAGACCATCCGTCTGCTTATGCAAAGCCTCTTGGGTTTCTTAACATGCGGCTGAATGAACCCTGTGAACATGCCAACATCAGATACTATGGCCAATCAACTCGTCCAGTGGCGAGACTTTGCGACCGCTTTGGGGACTTCCCGGTTGGAGAGCCCCCCATACACGATACACACACACACCCGGATCTATCCAATGTCAATCCCCTCCCCAAACATCGTACTCCTTGTTTGCCAAGCAGACGTTGCAGCGAATGCACTTCACTGTGTGCTAGATGACTGAATATTTTGCGTGCACAGATGGTATCATTTCCGTATTGATCGGTCCAAAGTCATGGAAACAACAAAACTTCTCTCTCCTCTTACAGTTACTTTTTTGGGCCTTTCCATGGATGATGGGCTAGTAAAGCAAGCAAGACTCCGCGTTCGCAATGCCAAAGGTGCGCGCTGTCCGTGCGCCGAGCCAGAATGGGCCGCGCTGTTGGCTCCGTCGTGAGGCAACATGCCATAAATAGTAATAATACAGTCCAGAATACAGACCAGGACAAAACTTCGCCAATCTTCTCTCTTTCCTCACACCACCCGAAAAAAAAGCCTCTCGGGAGCCCCGTTCCCGCTCCGTTCCCAGTGGCCATGGCTTCAAAGGGGTATGAGTGACGCCGGCGCCGAACATGGATCTTCCGTTGTTTGTGTTCCCTCCTCCTCATTTTCATCATAATCGTGTACATGTATTCATCGCGAGAATCAACCGTGTATGAGGCGAACAAGGACCGTAGAAAGTGAAATTCCAGATATGTACGTGAATCGCTGTAGCTGGCGGGGGCACCTTTTCGTCGGTCCAAAGGCTGTTAGTGGAGGCATCCCGTAGGCTGGCGAGGTTGTTATGAACCGGTAAATCGTCGTCGCTATACCAAAGGTGTAAAACATCCAGTTGATGTCGCCGACAAGAATGTTAGGTAGCTTTGCTAAAATCAATGTGAAAAAGCTCATCGCCGTTTCATCATAGGACCACTCCCATCGTAGTCCCAGCCCCGCTTGAGACCGCCTTCGTAGACACTCGCCACGGACTCCTGCCACATAGCCGGCGAGACAAACGTCTGCACAGGGGCTGCAGAGTATTGTTGCGCCATCTGTTGAGAGGCCACTGGAAGAGTGGCATTGACAGCCTGAATGTCTTGGAGAGACGGGGCTTCGGGTGCACCTGAAGACGGAGAAACACTAAGCGAATTGGACTGGGGAGGCAGCGTCGAAGGCTGTGGTTGGACCTGAGGCGTACCGAAAGACGTGTTCCATTGTCTGTAGATATGAATTAGCTGACCATTCCTTTCAAGACGGATGATTGTCAGGGATAACTTACTCAAAAATACGCGCAGGGTTCCAAGCCGGCGCGTCCGACAGCGACATTGTTTGCTGCATTCCCGGCGCTTGGGAACTTTGGCTTGCCATCATGACGAGCGACTGTATAGCAGGCGAGTCACTCTTGGTATCCACAGGTCCGGCAGAAATAGGAGGTGTAATGGGATGGCTGGTATAACTGACTTGGGAGTGTTGAAGGTTCTGCGTATCCAACTGGTGTTCCAAAGAAGCAGTGCGAGCCATACCCGGCCTGTAGCCCCTAGGAGGACTGGAATGGTTGGATGACTGGGGACTGCCGTATGGGAAGCTGGGTTTGAGAACAAAGGGTTTCCTGACGTCAGCAGAAAACGCTTCGCGCACCGCGTCGACTTGCTTCTGGAGGTCTGCCATTGGCCAAACCGACATGACTCGTTCGAGCACCCGCATGTGCCGCGTGAAAAACTCTCTCGCATCAGTGTTCAGATCAGGATCTGGAGAGACGACAGCCACCTATGTACCATAAAGTTAGAGAGCCAGTAACGGGGAAACACGGATCATAACCCACCAGATGGAGTACGATGCAACACAGTCCACAGTAGACGGTGAAGCTGAATCCACGAAGCATGCATTGTAGTCCAGGAAATCCAAACGAATTCAAGACCGCCTCCTGGAGCCGACAAAGAGCCTTGGCCGATGAGTAGCAAATCATCATGTGCTGCTTCCATTGCCCATCCTGTGCGTTGGGGTCCAGGAAATTCAGCTGTGGTCGATGCAGCAGAATCAGAGTCAGATAGTAGTAGGAATGCAAGTTGCCGATGTAGGGTGACGAAAGCCATGGTGGCGAGCCATCGGGCGGGAAAGTAACCGACAAGTCCGCTGGGAGGTCGTTCAACCAGGCATTCAAGGCCGGGTTGAGCTGCACAAACTCGGGATCAACACCCCAGTCCTTCGTCTTCTTCTTCTTGAGGTGGCCATAGGCGGTGTTCATGCGGCTGACGTTGCGGACAATTCGTGCGAAATAGGTGAAGTTCCGGGTAGTGTGGTACTCAGAGTCGTCGCCCCCAGGGATTGGACGGGGGACGCTAAAATCAATTGAATCCAGCTCAACGGCGAGATCGGTTCGGCCTTCGAGAGTTAGCAGGTTATTACAACAATTCGAGAAAGGCCAAGCACTAACCTTGAGGAGACCCAATCATGGTTTCGCATACGAATATGGACTGCCAGATCCGACTCTTCATTTGGCAGTCCAAGAGAGAGGAGCCACATGGCCTTCCCGCTTGATGGTCCGAGTAGTGCTCGTCCAGGCCGAGATCCTTGCCCATTTGAACGCACTGAACAATCGTCATCCACGAACGGTAGTAGTAACCGCGCTTGGGTGCTGCCTCCCGAGCTTTCAAGATAAGCAGCAAGGCCTGTAGCGTGCTCAATCTCGGTACGTCCATAAAGGAGTCGGCGTGCTCTGCCATGTTTGTTAGCCATTGTCCAGACCGCTGACGAGTGTTTCCATACTGGTTGCCAAAGCGAGCCATTGCTGCCCTTGAGCAGGATCGTCGGCTAGCCTTCCACCCATGGCGAAAAGGGCCTCGAGAATGAGAGGCGATACCGATTCTCTATTCGTATTCCACTGATGATAAAACACGCTTTTACTGAGGACAGGGACATAGGGATGCACGTGGCTGAAGAAGAGGTCGAAGTAGTGCATGACGGTCTCGTCATCTGGCATCAATTCGGGTGGAATACGAATCTTGAGGCCCGGGCCGGTGATCATAGGCGGAAGGGGGGTCTTGTACTCCTCGTCTTCAACAGCAGGCTCCTCATCATGCAAAAAAGAGGCCTTGTTCCTCAAATACGGTGCTGAGGTGCGCGTCAGTAACTCCGCTACATGCGACAGTTTGCGAGAGACGACCTACCTGTTCCTGCTTCGTTGACCTTCAGGGAGCCCAAAAGATCAGCAAGATCCGATTGCTGATACGAGCCGTCATTGGAGTAGGTGTCGGGTGGAGAATCCGGACGTTGGCTTTGCTGAAGAGGTGGCGTTGGGAAGACATTCTGACCGGCGTAAGACTGTTCCATCATCGATACCGAGGGGGATACGGTGGTGTAATGCATATTGTGTTGATGAGCATGCTGATCCGAGTAGTGCACAGGTGGGAAGACGTTGGGATCCGAATATGCGCCCTGTGCAGCATACATTGAAGGGTTGGGCTTCTGACCGCCGGCCATCATGGACGGTTGCTGCATGGGAACTTGCTGGCGGATGTTCTGCAGTTGCGAAGACGCGGCAGCGAATTCATCTCCAACAGGCTCATAGGCGTCGTTCGAAGTGCCATCATACTGGCCGTTGGGACGGACACAATGAAGCTTGAGTCTGATACATGCCGAGCAGGGCCAGGTATTTGTCGTGGCCGCGTCGCACTTGATCTTTCTTCTTCTGCATCCTTCACAAGCTCTCATCACTTGATTCCATCAGTTTAGCTAGGCCGCGCACATGCACATTTCCAAGGGAAAGTAAGCATACCCTTTAATCGTTTATGACGATTGTGTTCGTCAACGAAAACATAATCTACAGAAAGACACTTTTGGTTAGACAGAACGTCGTGGGCAGGCCGGAGCGGAGGGCGGTAGAAGGTGGAGGGCGCGTACTCTTTTGGGTTTCCCTCTGAGGGAACTGCTGAGGTGCGAAAGAGAAGCTGCCCATCTGGGAGCTCTGAGGCAAGATGCGCCTCACGGAGGGATCGTTTGACATTGTGAATTCGGACGTATTCGGACGTGAGGAGTCGGTTTGTTGGAAGCGGTGAGGTCGTAGAAGTAGCCTCGAACGGAGAGCGGAGTCAAAGAAGCGGTTACATTCAAGCCGGATGCTTGAGTTCTGGGTATGCGTAGCTGGCGGCGACCGTCCCGACCTGGCCGCGCACTCGGCGGCTCTCTTTCTCTCTCTCGCGCGCGCGGGCTCTCACTCTTTTTTACTCTCTTAGTGAGTCTTTCAGTGTTGAGATTGTTGGCGACTAGACAGACGTGTCTTGGGCAAAGGACTTGCAGAAAAGAAAAAAGGAAGTTGAAAGAAAAGAAAGCACCAGAGGGGAATTGTGTCTCGAATTTCTCTCTGGGAGCGCGCTGGGCTAGGAATTGTCCGGATTGGTGGGTGAAGGTGAGGGGGGTACGCGGGAGAAGGTCAAGCCTTATTATGAATGGACGACAGGTCCCGGCGTGAGGCGTGAAGGGTTGACGTGGGTAGACCTGGACGGGGAGGCGACCGGGGTGAGGAACAAGATCTGGGCTGGGTACACACAGGCAGGGTCATATCACTGCGCTGCTGGGGCCCAGAGGAAACCGATGTTCGATGATGGATGCGACCAGGATTCGATGGGGAGTAGCCAGGAGCCAGGACTGCCTAGGTTGGCAGGGTAGGCTGGACCGTGGACAGTGCTCGAGGTGAGGATGAGGAGACGAGGAGCGTGAGTTGAGCAGCGAAAGCGAGCGAGGGGAGGAGAGTGTGTGTGCGTGTGGGCATACGTGTCCAGGGTCGCAGGAGGCGGACAGGGTTGCGTGAAGGTAAGGTATCCGTAGTTGCAGTCTCTGCGTAAGGTAGCGTCGTCGATGGGTGTTGGAGATGGGAGTCTTGACTTTCAGTTGGGACTTGGGACTTGGGCGTGGACTGTGGAGTGGGTAATGGGTAATGGGTAATGGGAAGAGTGTGAGAAAGAGAGAGAAAGGTGTGGGTGTGGGTGTGTAATGCGGATGTGGATGAGGGCGTGGGCCCAACGGTGCAAGGTCGAAGTCGCACATTGCGGTGACGGCGTGAGCGGCAGCAGCAGCAGGCGGACAGCAAGAGCCAGGCCCGGTACTCTGTACACCTGGTAGAAGCCGGACAGCCCCAGCCCCAGCCCCAGCCCCATCACCAGCACCAGCAATAACTTACAGGTACCTACCTACCTAACCTTACCTACCTACCTAGCAGCACCAGCAATAGCACCATCGCCATTCAGCCTGGAGAGACGATAAAGGAACAAGGATGACACGCCGCAGACATCAGCAGGAACATGTACCTTGCCTGTCTCTCTGTGCCTTCCTCCGCCTTCTTGCCTCTCTAACGGGCCTCACCTTCTTGCTCTCCAACGTTCCATCCCGAAGAAGATGGGCTCCTCTTTACCCCTCCGTCAAGTTCACCTCACACTCACAGTGCAGCCTGTCCATGGCGGCCCAGTTGCATTGCGGGTTCTGAAGATGCTGGATACCTCAGAGAGTACCCATGGAATGCCTCTTCTGCTACTCCGTACTCTACTTTGGGACCAGACAGGTCAGACCAGGACGCAGAGCTGGCGAGGGGCCAGCGTGCAGGGCAGCGTAGCAAGTCGAGAGGTAAAATGCCCTGTCGTAAGCCGAATCTGGCAGTGAGATGAAGGATTGGCCAGGGGATGCGAACCTTCGACTCGCGACGAGACTCGGGACTCGGGACTCGTCACTCGTAGCCTGTAGGTTCCCATACTCGACTGACAACTGTTCCCTTCTATTCCCATTTGCCGGGTTTGTGTCTAATGGCTTCTTTGATGCTGGCTGTGTGAAATTAGACCCAGGCCCCGGGAAATGGCGTCGACAAAGAAAAGAATTGGTTCCCTATGCAAGGCGACGAACGGTGGTGCTTCCCGCCCGGCGTGGATCAACACCAGACTGCTGCGCAGTCCTTTCCCCCTCCTTTCCTCTCTTTCGCTCCCTCCCTCCCTCTTTCTCTCTCTCTCCAAATCCGAAGTACTCCGTATGTCGCCAAGACACTCTGTAGTCTTTCTTTGGTCTTGGTCAGAGGAGGGCGACGACTGTGGCCAAAAGGGGTGACCGAGGGGGGAAAGAGGAGACTAGGCTGACACACAGACAGCAAATAACGGGCAGAAGAACACAAGACGGACAGAATATCTCCTGTTTCTTTTCTTGGGTCGGACGGGGAAGGCGGGGAGGGGGGGGTTCGCGAGGTTCGAGGCAAGACACAGACAAGGAAGTGCCCAGAAAAATGAACCGCCATTTTCCAAACAACCCTCTCTCACAGTCCGTTCCTACTAGTGTACCGTGTCAAGCGCTCCTCTCCTTGACACCTTAGGGCAAGCAAAAGACCATCGACTGGCGTAGGGCAGGGCCAATACCAGACGTTGTAGACACATCAGACAGAATGGAGAGATTAATACTGTACGAATACACCAATACTTCAAGAGGAGGATGAGGGCCGGGCCACCAAGGGACGGCAAGGGTCCACGTCCGCCATAAGTCCGCACCATAATCTGCGTTGAGCAGGAAAAAAGACTGTCGATGCAGTTCGGTCTGTTCGATCATCGATGAGACGGAACAGACACCAGAGGGGAGGCGGTAGCCGATGTGTCGTCGGCGACTACAGTCTCAACTCTCAATCGCCAGGAACATCCATTGCCAGGCATACGGATAGACCGAGTCAGAATGCGGCGAGCTGCTGTGGGCGAATTTAGCGTATATGTGCAAGGGACCAGCACAAGGCATGTAAGGTACATGGCCTCTTGTCGGAAGTAAAGGTGAGAGGTATCCGTAGGGCAAAAGGCATTGGATACCGTCGACGGGTGGGTGTGTATGGCGAACAATGCGCTGCGCGGAAGCCCTCCTCGAGTCGTCTCTCATTGCCCCCTCTAATCCCTTCCCTCCTACCCATCCTCCTACCGTCCCGTTCGAGACTCGAGGCCAATAGGTCCGAGGGGAATTCCGAGATGCCCTGTCCGTGTCCGCGTCCGTTGACCAACCCAAGCCGACCTATTGAACGGCTGGTACTCCGTACCCAGCGCAGGAACGGGAAACCGTCGAGGAACCTTGTATTTGGACGTCGCCTTGTTGAATGCACTGTATAAGATGAGGACCTGAGCCCAGAGACGCAACTTAAGGGGCCTCGTCTCGTCGTCATTCTCACGCAGGGCAGTGTCACGAATACAGTATCGCCCCACACTACGTGAATACTGTAGATGTGTACGGATATTCGTAGTGTACAATACCTCGTCTTCCCCAAACAGCCCAAGGACCTTTTGCAGCTGCGAGGCTAGCCTGACCGTACTTTGCTTCCAACGTCGTCCTAAGAGACTCAGAGACTTCCAAGCAGGCTGGTCCAGCCACAATGTAAAAAAAGGGCGCCGGCAGCACCGAGGAGGGGATTTGTTAGCGGAAAGGGAAGGGGGAATGGACGGGGGACGGCGGCGGGCGGGGAAGATGGTAAACGTTCGAAATAGCGGTAGGGAATAGCGCGAGCGTCATAGGGTTGACAATGGAATTAATCAGCTAGACACAGGAAGGGGGGGAAGTCGGGAATTCGTTATTTACCCATGTCATCATAATAAGTGGCCATGCTCATTCGATATTGATATCGAGTTCCAACTTCCAAGATACCGAGGTGCATCCAAATGAAGCAAGTTGCCTGAGGTACGACTTCTGCATCGCGCTTCATGGATGCTCCAGTTGGGTGTCACGGTGTCGAGGACGAGGGTACTTGGCGTCCTTAGTGCCATCATCCATGTGCCGGATGCCTCGATGCCTCCGCTGACAGGCTAGGAACTCAGCTAAGCCAGTGGATCGCGTAGGGTATCCATCCTGCTGCCGCAGTAAGCACACACAACGATAATGACCAGATGATCCGCATCTTGAGGAGTCGAGCCAGGTGATGCTCCGTAATAACCACCTTGTAAGGACTGAGGAGTCTCTATCCGTAGCGTCCAAAGAGCAAACCAGGCAGGCGGATTAGCATTGGCAGGCAAGGTACCTGTACCCGTACCCGTCCGTACCTTAGGCTGTCGCCGTACCTTACCCGCCCTATTGCCCTGCCCAGTAGGGCAAGTCCACCATTTTCTTCATCCGCATCTCTCGTGGGGTTGGTGGTCCTGATCATGACCGCGGGGACCCTCACGCTCCTGACCGTCCTGGGGCTGCTGGGACTCGGAGCTTGGAAGACACCTACAGTAAGATTCAGGACGGGTACGGATACAGAGACGACAGTACCTGAGGCTTGACCCCGTCTTAACCTGCCCTGATGGGACAAGTGCATTATCCAGTCTTGTTCTCGAAGGAGTCCACCACAACTGTCTACCCACACCACCTTCCACGTTCCCCGTCCGGCCACGACGGGGGACGTGGAAGGTGGAGGACTGCGAGGGTCCTAAAGCAGAAGCTCTGCTCGGGAGCCCGCTCTGTCGGCCCCAGGCCGTCCTGGTCTGGGCGAAAATCGACGTCCATCACAGTGTGTCTGAAGTCATGAGCTGCGTGGGTATGGTATCCGTACCTATGGAGTCTGTGTGTGATGTTGGTGGAATTAGCTGGGTGCCGACAGCTATCTATGTGGCTTTCAGTCTACCTATCATCTCTCCTGGAGTTCCGGGTTGAATCAAATATGGATCGTCCTCAACGACACCTGGTATGGGTGCCGCAAAGCAACTGGCGTACCTCATCACCGAACCATAGGGCGAGGGATCATGGGGACTTAGCTTGCGAACCGAGGACAAAGCATTCCTGGCCAACTTTTGGCAGGCGTTGTCCCGACTGCCGTGGCGCTAACGGGGAGAGACAGCGGCACCGTCAAGAGCCGGCGAATGCGAAATGAGAGATGGTCGTCGCCCCTTTGCCAAAATGGCAGTGACAGGTAAGCGGTAAGACGGCTAAAGATTTTCTGGAGGCTTCTAGTCTGGACACTTGAGCGAAGCCGAGCGCCGTGGTATTGAGCGCCTAGAGGGGGGGGCGCTTGCACTGATTCGAATCTCTGCCTACGGACTGCCTTAGTCTATAACTTTGATCGACAGCAAGCCATCTCCGGGGTTGAGGAGGCCCTGGCAAGACTGGCTACAACGTCGAGCCGATTCAAGTGGTGTCGAGGAGGCCGAGAAGCGGACCGAACCAAGGTGCTGACGTCGAATCCTGGTTGAGCTAGGGGGGAGACGACATTGTACGGATACACTGCGATGAGACAGCCCGAGAGATGTGCAGAGGTTCTCTTACCTACGGAATATTGCCAGCTCCTTTCGCGCGGCAGGCTCTCAGCGCTATGCCATGCCATGATCCATGGGATGGCCCTTTGGCTTGCATGGGTGCGGCGTGGGATGCACAGCAACGCCAACGACAGGCGCATGGGAGATGGTCAAGATCCATTGGAACGGAGACACGGTATCTGCCGCATTGTATCCGTACCGCGGTAAGGTACCGCAGTTGCAGTCGCCAAGTCTTGGTTGCAGCCAGGTGCGATGCGGTCCCCACTCCCCGCTTACCTTATCATTACAGGCCGGCTCGTAGCCACCCTTGCCCATCTCCTCCACCGACTGGGTGGGTACGTTAGTGCGTGCTTGTCCACACCAGAACTTTGTAAGGACTAAGGACTGGCTCTAGGCCGCACTGGGCGCTAGACGCTTGAGATCTCCTGGTGTTTGGGTAACCGTCTTGCCGTCTTTTTATGGATACGTATACTCTTCTGTCGACACTTGACACTGTTTGTACTTCTGTCTCTGTGTGGACCCATACGAACTTGTCTCATCTGTGTCGTCAGGTATTTCCTGGCTGAGGGAATGTAAGGTACCTACCACCTACCTGCCTTATTGTCGACTGCACATCCGTGACCCAAGACATCTTGCTTGCCTCTAGCGCCAGGCTAGGAATCCCAATCTGCCAATCTTCTGGCCGGCCTGGTCTCTGCCGTCGCCATGGTGGCCATCTAGGTAGGTCTTGTTTCATTGTTACTTCCCATTCCTCTTCTCCGTTTCTTTCTGCAACCATTTCTAGGTACACATTTCTACCTACCTGTCGGTGGCTATCTCAAGGTACTGCTGCAGACATGCTCATTATACTGATGCACCTTTGGGCAAGGTACAGTATACATCACGCAGTGCATCGACTATGACGCATTCATCATGTACTCGTTGCCCTGTGTGCCGGGTTGTGACCTGAGGTTGAGCAGCTGGGAGAAGAGGGTCGGCACGGTTCGGCAAGGTACGTCTCTGCACTGCATCTCAGATGTGATAACGCATCTCACCACACCCACCTCAAGTCTTCCACCCCCAGGGCCGCTCCCCTCGCCCACGAACCAACTCATCAAAGCAAAGGTCATTTTCTGAATTATCGCGCCTGCTTCTGCCATACTCGACTCGCTTCGTGTTTACTTTCATTCCAAAGCCATCACGAAGTGCCCGACCACGCCGGCCTCCCCTCAGAAAGACGCCAACATTCTAACACTCAACTGGCTTCTAGTCCCTGCCGGGGAGCCACCGAAAGCGAGCCCGCACTCTCTTCCCCTCTGGTCTCTCGATTCCCAGCTGCTCTAGGCCACCAGGGGCCTCCGCTTGGCCAGGATTGACTTGGAGCGGGTGCCGCTCGCATGGGACTTGCAACTGGGCTATCTTACTTTGCTTACTGGGGCTCAGTTCTGGAAGCCCAAGACAGGGTTCATCGTCGAATGGTCATCCTTGGATGCTGCTCGAGCCAGTCAGTTTAGTCCCAGTCGAGGCCCAGCCGCTATATGGCGCTCCTCTTCAAGTCCCGCTCCTTGGAAGCATCGAAAATCAACGATGTCGCGGAGTTTGCCATCGCCACCCACACTAGATACCACGCTCTGAGTTGGCCGATGGAATCCCATTGATCAATCATCAAACCTGCCTGCTGGTTGCATGGGTACATCCTACCTTACGCATTGCCATCGAGAAACCACGGGCTCCGATGTGCGTGCGGAGTTGGCTACTGGACACCTCGAATTCGGTTCCTGATCCAATATCCAGCCATCCCGCCATGCCACCCAATCGAACCCTTCTTCGGGCCTTCGAAGAAGATTCTGGCCCCATTAGCACCTTTACGCAATGACGGCGCTAACCCAACTGAGACTCGGCCAAGCTACTTCTCATCCTTCTCAGTCTGCTCCTCGGCTCACCGGTCACCTTGTCATCATGCCCTTTTAGGCTCTTCTACATGTTTCTGTGTCTGCTCCGCATATCGTCCGTCCCATGTGGCGAGCTCCTTGGCTACATCGTGGGACAACATTGTTGTCCCAACTGCTTCACCGGATCAAGAACGTCTAAGAGCCTGCAGCTCGGACAGTGTGACAATCGTTTCCTTGCAAAAATCCGATACAACCGTCCGTCTAATTTGTCGCCTTCGCGTCTGGCCGCGCTGGAAATTGTATCATCACGCCACCAGGACGAGGCCGTGGGGGATGAGTCCGAGTACCAAAGACTACAATATCCAATGTCGGATATTTCATCCATGCCGCCACGTCGGTTTCATTGTCTGTGAATGGAGCGCCAGCTTGCATAGGCCTAGCATAACACTGCTGTCCCGCCTTCCCAGAAAAGCAGCGGCCTATGATGATACCAGGAGCACTATATGGTATTCTCCTCAAGGGAGATTTCGAGCTCCAAAACGACAAGGCGAAGCTTCTCATATGAAATTATTTTGCCGAAGGCCAAAACTACAAGTGTGGAATGGCCTACCCTTTGACATGGCTTCTGTCAGTGGTGATATTTCTTAAGGCTACCTAATGCAGTCTGCACGCCGTTCAGAGCTTGACCTTCACCCTGGTAATCACGTTGTGGCAACCACTCCGGCTTTGATTCAGGGTAATCCATGGGCGAATTTGAGGGGCCGCGTACACATTGCAGGTCGATCAACACAGAGATTGAATGAATGGACCGGTGGCGGACCGGCGTCGTTCGGCAGACGCCCTGGCCTTGTCCAACAGAGTTTATATATACAACTCGCGCCGCAGCTAATGAAAAGGACGGATGCAAGAGCCAGAAATGCAGGAACATGCGTGGGATAGGCTCGCCGAGTCGCCTGGCCATCACTCGAGCTGCCTGCAGTTGTCTTTGTGGGCGAGAAGAAATGGGACGATGAGGGGCCAATGTCTTCATGGGACTGGTCGACAGCTCTGTAGAGATCGCGGGGTCTGGTCGACAACGATGACCACAGTCTGCGCCTTTTTCTCGCTTTGGCCGACTCCCTGCCCTTGTAACCTCGCAAATGAAGTTCGGCTAGGAACCAGGACGTGCTCCTCTTAGCAGAGCCCATTCCAGAGGACTGGTTCACGGTTCTGTGTCCATACGAAGGTCGACGGCTCGACACCGCAGCTTTGCTGACCAGGGTTGAAGCCGTTCATCGATCTGGAAGGGGAGACCTAATCACCCCCCATCTTTGAGCCGTTGGTGGGAATTAGCTTGCTCCCTTACTCGGCATCTATCACGGCGCGCCATCCTCCACTCTCGTTCTGGAAATGCTGTCTAAGGCAGTCTGCCAGCAAATAGAATGCGAGAAGGACCGCCTTTTACCAGCCAACCGAAATGGGCAGTTCCATCAGTATACGGTGAGCAGGGGAGCTGGTCAAAAAATGGGGTGAGCAAACCAGTAGTGTCATCATTCACATGCTAGAAACTAGCGGTGGCCACCTGGATCGATAATATCGCAGGCCCTGGGACAGGAACCTACCGAGGAAGCCGTCACCCACGCCAAGTCTTGCCTTAACCTATTCGATCCCGTTAGGCCTGTCCCCCAACATGTCGTCCAGCTTTTTGCAAACCCCAAGGACCAGGCTATCCATCCAGATTCTCAAGCTTGACATGAAAGGGGTCACTGGCTGGCCAAGAGCCCCGGAGTATCATTGGACATTCTATCAATCTTCATTTTCGTTGAACATCGCGTGTTACCAAACTGGCGCACTGGTGGTTTCAGGCCGCATGGCTCGCCCTGCATCCTGGGGCTGTGTGTGCCTCGGATCCGAACTCGTGCCAACGAACCACGCGCCCAGCGCTAGGAGCTGGCATCTGTCACGCTCGGTTGTTCCCTTTTGCGCAAATGGTTCCTGGAATCGTTCGTTCAGGGGGGGACTCGTGCTCTTCGCCCCCAAGATCTTGGGCACGCTGTCGAGCGTGGCTGGATGGACAAGGGTGAGCGGGGGGCCAAGTACGGGATTGCATATGGATGCACGAGGGGCGTGTCCAAAGCCAGAACGGTCCGAATGGGGATCCAATGGCAGGTCTTGCTGTACACTATGCTCCTGGTCCATGTCCGTCAGATTTGTTGGAGGCTCCGTGACTCGCATACGGTACATTTGCTAGGCGATCCGACCATGCATGAAAAGCTATCGAGAGCGACGGTGAACCGCCAC